AAAACCAGATGACATGTGTTGAACAGATGTCATAATTCGTTGAAAAAGACACCCATACCCTACCTAGACCTAACCTCTTTTCAAAAGTAACTCATATTTGATACAATAGTCATTAGTATAAATGAACATCCTAACGCCCCTTGTTAAAATGATTGGATTTCTCCGTATCCTTGGAAAGAAATATTACGAATGTATGTGCTTATAAAACTCAGTAAATTTCAAAATAAGTTATTTCCAAAATTCGCTTGAATATTGAAACAGAGCTAGGGCCTTTAATTTAATTATATAATTGAATGTGAAATTTTTAGTTTCTGTTTTTGCAACATGGTAATTCCTCTGTAGCGATGGAACCATATTTTTAAATCAGTTAATTTATAATATATATATATATATATATATATATATATATATATATATATATATATACACACAAGTTCAGGGTTGGTACAGATGGAATAAAATTCCAATAACCAAAACCACTATTCTTAAAAGAGTGCTCAATACCGAGTAGAGCAAATAATATTTATTTAAAATTATAACATATGCATGTTATAACATCACTTCAAAAATAGCCATTTTGTTTCAACAGTTCTGGGGTCTTCTCAAGTAATAGTGTTGATTGCAAAATCACTTGACAAGGCACCAGAAGTGTTGAAACGAAATGGTTATTTTTTTAGTGATGTTATAACATGCATATGTTATAATTTTAAATATAAAGAAGCTGTTTATTAATTAAAAACTTCAGCATCCCTGTGTACTGAGATAGTAATTTTTATTAAAAAGCAAAAACTGCAGAATTAATTATTTTGACAGTTATTGCCTGGTCCAATCCCCCATCCCCCTTCTTTTGAATTGGAGTAGAGGTTTATCTCTTATTTCCGGCTTCAGATGAGGTTTCCAGTTACTTTTTCTGAGGCCTTAAAAATGGTGACTGTCATGAATTTTTGGTGTATGACTGGTTGGAGGCTACAAGTCTTCATACTGAGGGTTCCGGGTTAGCAGTTTTCTGATTACTGCATCCCGACTGATATTAAAGAGACCAAATTCTTAGGTAGGGATTAGAGAGGCTGCTCTGATCAACAGTTGCATAAAATTGGGGTTCTTGTAGTGCCATGCCACACATGGATAGGTATCTTTGCAAGCACTTCTGGGAGGCACACTTTGCACCAATTTCTAGCCAGCTCATGTTGCCTTTGATGACCAGCACCTATTATCATTCTTGGAGTTTTCCATCTTAAAATTATATCATGATCAAAATGATTAAACAAAATAAAACTAAACTGGATTGAGAAAAGACAGTTAATCACAGAACCTTCGTTTCTCCAACATTTGTGATGTTCTTAGCAATTTCTGCTGTACAGAACCATTTCTCTTGGAATGTTCTCCAGAAATCCTGGCTCTCTGTAAAATTCTAATATAAATCCTTCAATCTCTTCCATTGAATTCTGTTTGTAACCATCTTCTTCTCTTTCAAAAGAACTCTAAGTGTCCACATGCATGGCCTTCGTGTCTATGTTCATGAGCATCTCTAACTGGAAAGGGAATTGTCTCTTGAGTTTCCTGATTGTTCTTACATGTGCTTCTGACTTTCACTAAACTCAGTCAGTTTTCTCTTCTTCCTTTATCATTATCCTTCCTCTCATGACAGTTGCTTGCTAGATAAAATTTTCTAAGTATAGATAAGGTTCTCTTTCTACACTCATCTTCAAATATATTTGTGTTTGGCAATTTCAATGCCCATAATGCCAGGTGGCACTCTGATGACACTGACTCAATCTCTCACTTCCCCACATGTTTCTCAAGTAATTCTGATGGCTATGGTTCTCTACTTGTCTGCTTCCTTATCTCATTGTTGGACTCATGTCATGCTCTACAACTCTGTCCTCTTGGCAACACTGACTGAGCTGCAATGTCTATAGATATTTCTTTTCACTCTCCCATAATGTAAGAACCCCCTGTTAACAGAATATCTTTCTGTTGTTAATGCACTGATTGGAATTCATTTCATGATTTTCTTTGTGATTCCCCCAATTGGAATGGTATACCAATTGGGGGTATCCTTTTGAGAAATGTGACAATGAGGTCTCTTCCTGGATGAAAGCCAACATTGAACCTTTTGTGCCAGCAGGGAAATAACAAGTGAAACTGCAATCTTTCCCTTTGTTCTCTCATACCTGTTCAGCCACTATAGCCCATGGGAATCACTTCTAGCTATACCATAGTGTCAGGTTTGATTATAACAGATGTCTCTTTGTCACTTTGTAATGAGTGTAACCATGTTCTCAAAAAGTAAAGTCACTATTTGCTGATAGAATAAGATATCATATAGCTTCTCACAAGTTTGGTTCTACAGAATACTGGTGGCTCTACAAGAGTGTACTGAACAAGAGAAAATCCCTCACTTTTCCCCTCTTCAATCAATTTGAAGTCTTATCACCTATTTGCAGATAAATCAGAGTACTTTACTTCGTAATTCTCTTCCAAGTCCACTCTTGACATCTGGACTAACCCTGCCTTGTTTTCTCCCTAGGACAAAATCTCTAACTCTATCCATGGTTTCTGCTATCATTTCTAAACTAGATATCCACAATGCTTGCAAATTTCTTGCAGTATTTCTATAATTGTCCTAAATAAATATGCTCCTGAATTGGCTCCTGTTTTCTCCAAACTTTACAATAAATGCTTCTTGCTTTCCAGATTCTTGGATGCCCTCTTCTGTAGTTCCTATCTTAAAGAATTCTGAGGAACCTTCTGACCCCTAAAATTATCACCCAATTAATCTCTTACTTCTTTTTGACAAAGTACTACAGGCTCTAATCAACACTGAATTGGTTAAGCATCTAACTTCAAACAGCCTCAATATGGCTTCCATTTCACCAGGTCAAATACTGATGTATTAATAGCTATCACTGAATATGTCTATCAAGCTTTAGATAAGAATGATGAAGCTTGAGCTGTGGCTCTAGATATCTCAAAGGGGTTTGGTAGGCTGGCCTTCTCCACAAGCTCAAGTGCTACGGTGTCTCTGGATAAATATTTAGCTTAATCCAATCATTCCTAACAAACTGTATAATGAAGGTTGTGTTGAATGAACATGCTCCTAGATCATTTAACATTAATGCAGGTATCTCCCAGGTTCTCTCCTTGGATCAACATTGTTTCTTATCTTCAACAATGATCTTCTTGATGTCATCATTTCCCAACTAGGTATTTATGGTGATGACACAACTATTTACTCCTGTTTTAGTAGCAAATCTGACATGTCCAACAAAGTAAACTTGGCAACTGTTCTTGAAAAGGACCTTCAATCAGTGGTTGACTAGAACAAGGAATGGCATGTAAATTTGAATGCCTCCAAAACAAAACGGCTTTTATTTAATCACCATAGAGAACCTTTTCTACTTTCCATCAGTATGGCTGATGCTAACCTCCAGAAGATGCTCCTACTATATATCTTAAGAATCTTGACACAATTGAACCAAGGCTCTGTAATGTAATTGATCCTGACCTGGCATCTTGATTTCAGTCATTTTCTCACTGATATGAAATGACTTCCCCCTGTCTTTTCTGCAAATATTTTTATGGTAGTTGTTCTGTTCAGCTTTTCCTCTTTGGTGCTTCCAATGTATGAATTTATGTCTGCTACTAGATTGGCAACTAGATCTCATAATTTTACTTTTAAACTAGCTAGATGCATTCTGATAGTTTCTTTTCTCCCCACTTTTTGTCTGTGGAACTCACTTTTGATTTCTGGCCTCCCTATCGCCTACAATCTTCAAAAATGTAAATGCAATGTCAATCTTCTGTCTTCCTGAGTCCTTTTCATTTGTTGTCCTTTCTCCTCACTTCTCACTAAAATCTCTCATTTTCTTTCACTCCCTGTAACCCCTTGCATCTTAGAGGCATTATCACCTTGCTAAATGATAAAAAAAACACAAAAATATTAAGTGACAACAATTAAAATAATTTTCTTGCTCCCATGTTGTATTGCTTTGTCTCAGCTTCTATTTTAATATAGAAGGTGACAAAATGTTGATTTGTCTTGATTTACAAGGATATTGTCATCTTCACCAACTGAACTGGAAGTAAGACTAGGGAAAGTCAGATGACAAATACAGGTCAACAGGATCGTCTAGGAAACTATCAAATATTCAGTGGTGAAGCCAATATATAAAGGGAATTCACACAAATGGACTAGTGTATGTACTATTTACAAAAATAAAACTGTTTGTTTTATTCTTTTAACCTTTTTAGTGCAGTGAAAAATACGTTTTTGTGAATTTTGTCTCAGGGTAAAATGAAGATCTCAGTGAAATGAAAATGTACAGTGTAAATTTAAATGCGACAGGGTTGTAAATTTAAATGCAACAGTGTTGTAAATTTAAATGTGACAGGGTTGTAAATTTAAATGCAAGAGGGTTGTAAAAAGTTAAGAATAAAACTTTAAATAGTAACTATTATCAGTCTTAACACTTATAACTGGAAGTGGTTTCAAAATAAATTAATTCAACATGTGGAGGATTTTATATATATATTTTTTTATATAAAAACAACATGGCTTGAAAAAGTGCAAAATTATGTTGATGTGTGTACATAAACAGATTGTAAGAAAGAAAGAAAAATGTTTATGGGGTTAATGGTAAGTGTGTATGGTGTACTACATGGTTTTGTGAAATGAAGTCGTTGACATAGCTGAGGATTAAGAAGTCTCCTCAGAGGAAATGAGTTCCATGTTCTTACAAAATCCTGGAGCACAATGAGAAAGTGAATTTTTCCTTTTATCCTGTAGATTGCCATGACAGTTATCAGCATTAAGTGAAGTCCATTGGCAGACAAGTTACAGCCTGTTAAACTTTGTCATAAAAGTTCATTTTTCGTTTGGAGCTTACAGCAAAAAGAAACAAATATTTTATCCATAGATTAAATGGATAGAAAGAAGAAAATTTTATTAAAAACACAGCCCAATGTGAATTGTGATAAATTTCAAGAGGAGATTGTAATTAATTCATATTCAGTTTAAACATTAATCCAGTGGCTAGCTTGTGACTGAAATGACCTTCCCAAATTTGGTTCATAGTGTCAGTAAAAACACCTTTGCCTTCCAATCTGCAAAAGAAGAAGAAAATCCAAAATCAACCCAAATGCAATTAAAAAAAAGCAATGAAATAATTTGCCTTGTTTTGAGAATTCAGGTTGCCTTTTGATGCTGAATTCAATTAACATTTGTGTATCATGATGGAAACCGAAGTAACATTTGTCTATCATGATGGAAACAGAAGTAACATTTGTGTATCATGATGGAAACTGAAGTAACATTTGTGTATCATGATGGAAACAGAAGTAACATTTGTGTGTCATGATGGAAACAGAATAACATTTGTGTATCATGATGGAAACAAAGGAAGATTTGTGTATCATGATGGAAAAAAAAGTAACATTTGTCTATCATGATGGAAACATAAAATGGTTTTGTACTGGAATCAAAATGTTAAAAGCATTTGTGCTGGAAAATTAAAAGATTTTCTTTTGGATGCATAATACAAAACCTTACCTAAAGTCCTGTTCAATTATTCCCTGATTCAAATATTTCTTGTCTGGGATGGTAATACTTATTAAGAATTATAAACATTTTCATCCATAAATCACATTTTCCTTCAACTTACCGATTATGTTCAAAGTTTCCATGAAGATATGCTCCATTAGCCCATGTATAAGTTCCAATTCCATGGAACTGGTTGTCTAAGAATTGACCTTCATAGCAGTCACCTGAAGAGTGGCTTAAACATCCATGCCCATTCATGGCATCATTTAACCATTGACCTTCATAGATTGTTCCATTTATGGCAACTTGCTTTCCAAACCCTGACCGCTCCAAGCCACCCTTTTTAGTACGAAGAATCTGACCTTCTGAAAAATATGAACAAAGACACTTGTATTTGTACACTAGTGCTATCAACATTTTTTACAAATTTTGAAATATTTCAAGATGATATATGAACAGGGATGACATGTATCCTGTGTGTTGGGTGGTGATGGGCAGGTTCTGCTCTACAGAAAATAGAAAATGTGCTAATCATGTGATCAGAAAACCTTTAGGTAATCTTTATATTCTTAACTGTGTCTGTCTTTACGGTGGAGAAATGGATAGTGGCTCAGATTGAGGATTTGGTGAACCGATTTCAAACTCCAGTCAAATCCATTACATTCACTTATGTGCTAATACCATTGGTAAAGGTATTAATCCTGTTCTTCTCCCTTCAGCTATGGTAAATAGCCGAACAGACTGGGTTCTATAGCTTTGGATGGCAACTGATCTACTGCAGAAAGAAATGGCAACCTACTGTGGGGAAAAAATATGCCTCATCAGTCATGTATTGAAAGATACATGATCGTCTACACATGTATCACGCATGGCACATAACTGATTGACTGACTGTTCACCATATAGATTTCATTTGCTATAAACCATGTTATATTCATGTATACACATGTTTGAGTAGACATCTCCCTGTTATTAAACAGTGTGCGATACTGAGGGGTGAAACATTAATTCTAAGAAAAGAAAAGGGTTAATCCCAAAATTAAATATAGGCTGAGAGAGAGAGAGAGAGAGAGAGAGAGAGAGAGAGAGAGAAAAGACATTTTCCTTGGTAAGAATGGAACCATCTGGATTTCTTCTCTCCTAAAGTTTACTTTTCTTATCTAGTGAGAGTTTAGTATGTGGATGAAAACAGATTTGGGGAACAATTTTATCTCTTAAATTATAAAACACATGTCACTGGCGAACAGAAAAGCATATGAGAATTATATTTTTATTAGCAAAAATGAATCGAGAAATGAAAACAGAAAATGAATCTTCTGTGAAGGTTAAGATTATGAAAATTGATCTATCAAAACAGGCAGGTGATCTGGCCTGTGTCTCCACTGGCCCAGGGATGGAAAACAGAGAGTCCTTTTGTTGAGAATTTAGATAAACAAATATATCTTCATTGACAAAAACAGACTAGGAAATAAGTTTGTCTCTTTCTGGAGAAGTTAGGAAAACATATTATTAATGGAAAGAGAAGCAGTTGAGGATCATATTTTCATTGATGAAAATGAAAACAAAGAATGAACCATTTTTCTTAGGGTTGAGGTTATGAAGATCACTCTCATGTTGTGTGCCAAGTTGTTATGTTTTGTACGAAAGGGAGTCTGAGAATTGAAATTAATGAGGAGAATAAACAACACCCTTTCTCCTATGCATTTTAAAAATTAGATTTGTCACAAAGACAGTTATGCACCTTGAGAAGTGGGCAGAGTTAGAATACTGAGAAGGAAGGAGGAAGGATCAGAGTTTAGCCCTGCCTGTGCAGAATAGCAGTGAGAGATGAGAAGGTATAGGCAGTGATGGCAAAAGGTGTGACAAGTGAACTTAATGTCAACCAGCCTAGAAATGGAGAAAATCCCAACAAAAGAAAATGTGGCTTCTACCAGAAACTAATGCTTGTTATCGCACTTTTCATTTGGGGATAAAGAAATATTTAATTTTGCATTTAATTGGTAAGAGGAAAAGTGAATGCATGTTCAATTCCTGAAGAAAGGCACATATTTTCTTTAGTAGAACTTCACAATCTCTAAGCAAGTTGACATTAATTTGAATGTTTAAAACAGTCTTTGATTGGTTAATGCAAATCTTCGATGGTATTATAAAAAGTAAGACCTACCTCCTGATATATTTAAAGAAAATTTTTCCAAAAGTACATCATGAAGCGAATCATATGGGGAAGTGGCCTGTCAATAGATCAGGGTACCTGGCAGAATGGATCTGATGTTGCAATACCTAAAATTTGTGATGAAGCCAGGGTGACAGCACTGATGATCTCCACTGCTTCATTTTAAATGTATTTCAAGAAGATGATATGCAATCTCCCGGAGGCATGAAAACAAACAATATTATTTTTACATAGGGGAGATTTTTGAGATCCAGTGTAGTTGGAAATAAATTAGATGCTTTAAACTTTTTATAGTAGATGATAGTAGAAAAATATAAATCTTACATGTTTGTTAGGATTATTGAGTAATATGAATCAGTATTTTTAATTGCTTTTTCATCATGTTTATAATTAAAGTACATCTGGTTACAATAGAATAATTTAAGGGTGTGTATTTATTTTTATTTGCATCAGGGAAGGGTCTTGAGTTATTTTTTAAAAATTTCATTAAGACTAATTTTATTTGTTTGTTGACAATGCAGTTAGGGAAATTATTGTTGATATATATCTGTATATCTGTGAAAAATATAATATATACATTTCTATACCTCAGACACAATTAACATCAAAGGCTGAAGTGAAGAGAAGAGAAATGAACTCTTGCTGCCAGGGAGAAGCGTGCTTAACAAAAGGAAATCAAGAAGGTGCTATTAGGGGAGAACATCTTCACATGCAATTCATTGTAATCGAGACTGTTACTCGTGTGTGGGCCTGTACAGCCATAGCAGATTCTGTGCCACCATCAGCAGCTAAGGCATAACTCTTTGGGCACAGATCCATGGGGTCTCTTGAGATTAACATAAGTCACACATAGATATCAGAACAATGTTAGGCAAATGAATGTCAAAATGAAAAAAATTATGTGAGATGTATTTTGTCCTCTAGTCGGACATAAAGCTATCAAACATGTCAGTAAAAATGAGTCATGATTTAACCTTGCAAAAACAGTCCAACTTTGTAGAGATGCCACGGTTGTCAGTGACTTCAAGGAGTTTTAGCAAACCTTAACACTAGGATGGCCGAGGTGTCATTTTCGACACCTTCAAATTTTCAACAAATTACTATGGAATAAGTAGTTTTGGTTCGATGCTGAGGCTTATGGACAATTATTGAATTTTAGCAAAGATGCTTAACAGATTTAATTCTTTAAAAAATATCCAGTGGAATTGCTGATATTTGAGGTTTTACCTTGAATGGCCAAGGTGATGTTTTTGACACCTAGGCTATTTATAGGGTAAATGCAGTGAAAAATTTCTCACAAGCAATAATAATTGTGTTTATGTCCCCTATCTATCTATTTATCTATCTATCTATACACACCCACACACATACATAATTTATATATATATATATATATATATATATATATATATATATATATAAAAATCACTTTTATTTCAGTATGAGGTATACTAATATTTGTGAATTTCTTTTCAGATTGTTATTCCTGACTTGAATATTGAATATATTAGAGATGGCTGCTTCATGGCGTAATGTAAATAAAAATGTCAAAGGAGCTGGCTATCCTAGTGTTAAAGGCAGTATATGGCCTTATCTGCCAGGCCTAAAGATAACATCATTATAGAAATCAATCTGTGTTGTATAGATTTCATTGATCAGTACACTTTCACTACCCCAGATCTACACTAATTTTACTTTTTTATAAAGTGAAAGCAGTAAAATCAAAGAGTGCAAATAAAATAATTAATAACAGTAAAAAACCAATTGCAAGATTGGCCATCTACTTCATTCAAAATATTTGATATTTTTTTGATGTGAACATTTAGGAATGCTTTTCAAAGATACTTACCATACTTATCACCTGAAGGGAAGATGTAGACATCTTCAAATGCCATAGAATTTTCATCAACATCTTTTTCTTGAACTGAAAAACAAAACTATGGGAAATGATCAAAATGTCATGACAGCAAATGCTATTATAACAAAAGTTGTTCATTTATGATTTAATTAGCAAGACAGACTGAGCCCTCTATTGGCTGGCAACCAATCTAGGAGAAGGAAAATTCTGAATTCAAAACCCAGCCACTTGAAGCTGTACAAAGATAGTTAAACATGGAATGCAGATACTATGTCTGTAAAACAAAAACATAATAGATTTCAATAACTATGGATTATGTCATGGGAAGGTGATTATCCAGAATGCTGTTGATACTAGCAGGTATTGAACACAAGGAAGGAGGGATAATGGATGTTCTTTTAGAGAAAATACATCTTCATTATCGATTTTTGTTTTTTATGTGATTACTTTTATTTTAAACCAATCAAATTTTCTTTTCATCTTTATGTGAGAAACTATATCACTATATGCCTGTTATATGTGAGAGAATATTAGAACAAAAAACATCATTAAGGAGAGAGAACCAGAGAAGAACAGGAATTATGAAGATAGAAAATAATGATTGACATTGCATTTTAATTTTTGAAATTCAAAGTTGACTGGGAAGAAAGAAGCCTGAAGAAGTGCAAGAGAAGAAACGGTTACATCTAACCATTTCAACTGTAAAATGTTGAGGCATTAGCGCCAATCTAGTACCGCATTTAAATTCATAACGTCTAGGTACCATAAAGGAAAGTTCATCAGGACAATTATCATGAAAAGATTTATAGAAAATCACAGGGAAGCTATGTTATGGTTGTGGGAAATTGTCTGAAGCTGAGATGCCAGGTCAGGACCAATAACATTGCAGATTCTTTATATTTTATCAACAATCTCTAAATACATAACAGAATCACCATACTAGATGTGGCAGCAATATTTAAAGCAAAGACAAATGGCAAACTTAAAATATATAAGATGGATTCAAAACCCCCTCATTCTCACTTCCCCTACGCAACAACACTCTTTGCTCCCTCAATGCAGCAACAGCCAACTGTATCCTCCCCTACAATCCACAAGAGAGAGTATATATATATATATATATATATATATATATATATATATTGATGCAGGTTTCATTAAATAATATAGACAACTTTTGTCTATTTATTTTAAGTAAATTCCTTTCATATTTTCTGATAAGCTTAATAACATTATCATTGAAAGATGAAAGAAAAACACCATATTGATACATGTTTTTTAATCCTATCTAAGCTTTCGGCTTACATAAACCATTATCAAAGATGACAATTACATTTCAATATATTAAACAATACATGGACAAAACAATAATGATAGTCTGTTTTTGTTGCATGAAAGATTTCCAAGCAACGACAAACTCGTGCATATGAGACGTGGATGCAAAAATCGCACCGCAGCTTGGGACGTCACACATGACCACGCGAGAGTGAAAACAAGAAGTATTAAGTATGGGAAGCCATTGGTATAAACCAATGGCTTCCATTATCAATTATAGGCATTTAAAAATATTTGTGGAGATTTCATAGTTTATTTTGTTCAGGTTAGGTTTCAAATGTTTTATGTATATAGCTTCAAGAATTTTTAGTTTTTGTTTATTGTTTTCATGTTTAAGTATAGTTGTGTTTTCAATAAGAATTTTCTGGAATTGTGTATGCAGCCAGGCATATTGTTTTAAAAATATAATAAAGACAATATATATATATATATATATATATTGTCTTTATTATATTTAGAATATATATATATATATTATTATTATATTATTATATTTAGAATATATATATATTCTAAAGTAATGGATTTTTTATTTATTAATCTGACAGATTACTTTATATCGTTTTTAGTGGATATTCATATTTGAGTAGATGCTCTGTTTATTTATTAAACAGTAGATTTATTTACTTTCATCTACTGGCCTGGAGAAATCTTATTAAAGAAAAATATATGTGCTCCGGCAGAATACAAACCTGTGTTCCCCTCCCTGCCAGAGAGTGCAAAGAATTATTTAAATTTCTGATTTTCTTAGACAAGTATTCTTATCTTCTTTCAACCATTCTACCTTTTTTAGATGTCTCTTGTCATTGGTATTGTTCTAAGAATTTTAAATAGAATACTTTATACAAACTAACAAGGTAGATTGTTTTTATGTGAGATGATATCTCACGTCAGTTAATTCTATCTTGTTAACTTATGTAACTTTTCCACTGATCTAATGTATATAACTTTTTTTTACACTACCTGACTCAAAAACTGTACTTACAACTGCCAGGTAACTCACTTGGTATAGAGATAGCTGATGTAATTGAGAGTGGGGTTAATTCCTACAGGAAGCTCAATAAATTTAGCCTTGTGCTAACTGGAGACATACTCCATGAATAACAATATACGAATAAAAATATATCCTATGCTAAAATGTTGTTGAATGCTTTCTATTGAAACTTAATATGTAGTCTTTCCTTATGATTAAATTGTTGTTTGCTGGAAGTGAGTTCTCCTTTTTTTTAAAAAAATACTCTCACCATTTGAAGTTCTTGTTGTTTAGTTTTAATTTTGGTAACTCATAAGTTGTCCTTTCAACTAAAATAGCTATTTTGTTATATATTACAGAAAAAAAAAACTTAATTTTATGAAAATTAATTAAAAAAACATAAATGCTGTAGTAAATGTATACTACAGGATTGTAATGGATAAAGGTTGCCTGTTGGTGACCAGTTTATAATGAGAGAAGTTAATACTTGTGACAGTTGAGATGGAAAACATTCAAAGTAAACAAATTCAACATATTCAAAAGAAATGGATTCAACATGTGTATGAATTTTATACATATATTTATATAGAATAACATAACTCACAAAAGGATATTTATGTGCATATGTATGACTCAAAAACAGGAAAAAAACATTTATGCACTTGTGGGTTATTCTACTTGGCATTGCCAAAACGCCCACTAAGGGGCGCTCTTTAAGCCTATAAAAAGGCAAGCTTATTCTCTCCCTTTCTCTTTTTTTTTAAACTCTGGCTTCCAGATGTAATCAACATGGATAAAGAATGCTGCCAGCAAGACATGTTCGGTTCCTTGGTCCTCTGTTGACTTTAGAACTCTCTCACACATGCATATACACACATGTGTCTATCACACACATTCTCATAACTAGTTTCAATGTCTTTTCCTTTCATTTCAATTGTGTACACATGTAATTCTCTTTGGTAAGAACATTCATTTGTTTTATATTCCATTGTTTTGTTACTTATTTTTACCGAGACTCACATTCAGTCTGCCAATATTATTGCTGTATTTTGGGAAGCATGATTATGTGGAGAGACACTGATAGTGTCATTTTGCTCAGTTTCAATGGCTGAATAAAATCTTTCTTAAGGTTATTGCTGTCTTGTCTTCCTGCTGCTTTGAATTGCTTTTAAATTCATAACAATTTATTCAACAAAAATTTAGGAAAAAACTTAACATGTCCAAAATAATCAAGCCATATTGACTGGACCTAGATCACAATGTCCCTAACACTTCTAAGGACTGGAAACATTGAAAAAGAACGTTTGGAAATTTTATTCTAGAATGTGGGGGTGTTATAGAGTAGTTTCACAGTGGAGGCTTGTATTTCACTAAGTCGGTCCTAAAAAGGTTTGACATACAAAACGTTAGGAACTTGATATAATAGTTAATGATGCAGCAATCTAGTTGTGGTGACTTATACTTTAATGTCTGACATTGACTGACTCACCAACTCTCTGAGCGACTTCGCGACTGCTACTACTACTACTTATTATAGGTGGGAGAGTCTATTAACTATAGAATAGGTGTGTTCCAGTATAACAGGGGTGAAGAAGCACCAGACAAGTTCTGATTGCTAATAAATTGTGTTTTATCTGGGGTGTATGAGTACATCAAAGATTGTACAAATTATGAGGAAGCCGTCCAAACATTAGACCAACTATATATCAAGACACCTAATGAGATCTCTGCTAGGCATCAGCTTCTGACTAGAAGCCAGAGGAGTCCCTTGAGAATTTTTTTCAGGACTTCAAGATCTTTATAATTTTACAAATTATGAGGAAGCTGTCCAAACATTAGACCAACTATATATCAATACACCTAATAAGATCACTGCTAGGCATCAGATTCTGAGCAGATGCCAGAAGTCAGGGGAGTCCCTCGAGGAGAATTTTCTTCAGGAACTCCAAAATCTTAGTAAAGATTGCAACTATAAAAAAGGCATGGCTGAACGACACAAAGAAGAGTAAATTTATAAGTGGGATTTCATACAATTAAATTAGGCAGCAGTTGCTGGAAAATCCAACACTGGATCTATCATTGGCCTACAATCAAGCACATGCACTTGATCTCGTTCAAAGAATTTCACAACTTTACTCTCCTACAAGTAATTCGTTGGTCCCAGGTGTAGTAGCTGTTGTTGGTACCAAGAGTGAATGTTCAGAAGAGAGCTGCCAAAAGTATATTACCAGAAAAAGTGCCAATTTTGTGGTAACACAGCTCATAATCGGAAAGTCAGTCCTGATCGTAGCGTCACATGTTTTGATTGTTGGATAAATGGACACTTTTCAAAGGTTTACCGATCTAAGATCAAGACATCTGGGACGATGTCCATGATGAATAATTTTAAACCATGTTTCTGTTTAATCCCAGATATTTATCCCCCAGTTTATCCTCTCATTTATCCTCTCATGCAACTACAATGATCACCATAAAATGCAGACAGTTTATTGCTCTTATAGACTCTTGTAATTCAGAAAAGTTTATTAGTAAAGATGCATTCAACCTATTAAGCCTGAAACTCCACCCCTGTAGGAAAAAAGTGTTTATGGATCTTAAAACCATGGAAGCCAACTATACTGGTGTTTACTGATATAGAAGTAGGTGGCAGAAAATATGGAAGAGTAGAATTTGGGGTTTTGGATAACCTATGTGTGGCGGTAATTCTCGGATATGAGTTTCAGAAGCTACACAAAAATGTAATCTTCATCTTATGGTGGGAACAAAAATGACTTAATAGTTAATTGAAGAAATGCACACTGTGTTCTTGTTGCGGCTAAGGTAAATATACCCTCATTATTTTCTAGTATACTTGTGAATGTCTGCCATGTTACTACCAAATACTAGCATTTTAGTAGAGATGATCAGGCAATCATTGAATAAGAAAATTTGAACCCTGCTAACGCCTGGACAGCCCAGTTGTTGTTGCGAGATTATTCCCAAATGGTTAATCTAAATACCCAGTTGGATGCCTACCTTATGCTTTGGATTGATGATATGATAAACAGTCTGGGGAGGTACAAAGTATTTTTGACTTTGGACCTGAAAAGTGCCTACCATCAGATCCCAATAATTGAGCTGGATAAAAAGTTTACTGCCTTTGAGGCCAATGGAAAGCTATACCAGTTTTGTAGGTTTGCTTTTGGTGTAATCAATTGGGGTCTCTATATGTTTCAAAGGGCAATGGACGAATTTGTTGAAAAAAGAGAACCTTATAGATACATATCCTTATGTAGACAAAATCATCATTGGTGGTTATAATCAAAAACACCATCATCAGAATTGTCAGACGTTCCAACAAGTGGTACAAAAATGGGGTCTTACATTAAATGAATCAAAGTCTGTAATATCTTCTAAGTCTATTAAAATACTCAGGTATAATGTAAGCCATAATACTATTTGACCAGATCCTGACTGTCTGCACCCACTTCAGATGTTGTCACCACCATCGGATACTGTCTTACTGACTGAGGTGAACCTTGGATATGTTTTTATATTATTCCAAATGGATTCCTTTGTTTTCTAATAAAATCTGTTCATTGATCAATACTAAATCTTTTCCGATAAGAAGCTTTGGGAATTTTTAATGAACTCAAAGAGGAATTGTGTTCTGCAATGCTTATATCTACTGATGAAAGTATTCCTTTTTTGGTAGAATGCGATGCTTCCGATGTTGCTTTGTGTGCAACTCTTAATCAAAATGGCAGTCTTGTTGTCTTCATATCAAGCAGCCTAAATAAGAGTGAATTAAACTACCCTTCAGTGGAAAAAGAGGCTACTGCTATCATGGAAGATGCTAGAAAGTGGTGACACTTACTGTTGCGCAATCACTTTACTCTAATAACTGATCAACTTTCCATTGCATTCATGTTTGGCAATAGAAAGCAAACAAAGATTAAGAACAGCAAAATTCAGATTTGGAGAATAGAGATGGCTGAATTTAATTATTCAATTGCATACAGACCTGGGCTGGACAATGTTGTCCCGGATACCCTAACTTGAGCTCACTGTGCAGCCACAACAAATTCATCTTTAAATAAATTTCACAGTAGTTTATGTCACCAAAGAGTCGCATGAATGTTACACTTCATTAAATGCAAAAACCTTCCATATTCAACAGAATGTGTGAAAAAGGTTTGCTCTCAGTGTCAAATTTGCTCCAAATGGAAGCCAAAGTTCTTCAAACCTTCTGCTCCAGGGGAATTGATAAGTGCATTGGGTCCAATGGACTGGTTAAGCATCGATTTTAAACGGTCCTTACCATCTAATACTCATAATAAGTATTTGTTAATGGCTGTAGATGAATATTCTTGTTTCCTGTTTGCCTTTTCATGTCTTGATGTTAGTTCAGTGACAGTGATAAAATGTCATGACCAAATTTTCAGCCTTTGTTGGCTCCCATTTGATAGAGGTGCATCCCTTATTAGCTAAGAGTTAAACTCCTACCTAACTGAGAAAGGAAGCATTTCCAACAGGCAATTCATAAGTTGAATGGCACAATGGAATTATTTAGAGAAATATTCACCTGGTATTAGGAACATACAATATGAACATAAAATTTTGGAAATTAGTTCTACCAAATGCTCTCCATTCTCTTTGTTTCCTACTTTCAACATCTACAAATGCTACACCACATGAAAGGTTCTTCAATTTCCCTTGGGGCTCTTCAGCTGACTCATTTTTATCATCATGGCTTGTCCTCAGACCTGTATTCTGAGGAACATTTCCAGTCAAGTAAAAATGATAATTTTGTCAAGGTGGAATTGCTTGATGTAAATCCTACATATGCAAATATTAGGTTCCTTGATGGATGAGAGTCAACAGTATCTCTTCAACACTTAGCACTTTGTCCATCCACTGATTTGAATGGGAGAATAAGCATCCCAAATATCCAACATGCTCCTGAGGACCTCGGCAGTCCCGACATACTCACTTCAACTGTGCCCCAGCATGATAATTCAGGGTCAGCCTCTAATGATGTTATACCAGCCTCTAATCAGCTTCAGGCTAGTCCCAAAAGTGGTAATGTTCTACAGAGTTTCAAGAACATGAAAGGCACCAACAAAGAATGAAGATTTTGTTATGTGAGTCAAACCTTCTTCTCCTTCTTGCAGGAGAGTCAAGTGTTATAAAAATGATCTCTTCTTTTGTGCTTTGTATGTAAATTTATTATATGCAAATAAACATACATATTCTTATATAAATTCTGTTGTATTTTAGGGGAGAATGATTATGTGGAGAGACATCAATAGTGTCATTTGGCTTGGCTTCTTTTGTTGAATAAAGCCTTTCTTAAGGTTATCGCCATCTCTTATTTCTGCTTTTTTTTAATTGCTTTTAAATTCATAACATATGGGAAAGTAAAATTTTAAAAAAAAATGCATTCTTTTTTATTCGGTCTCTCTCACATTAACCATTACACATGATGTCACTGTGGATTATTTTAAATCTTCAGCTTTCTAAATATCACTAGCATTTATCCAATGTAACCATTTACCTACCACACGGACATCATGGTTCTTTAAAATGGTTAAGACGGTTGAAAGTAGTCTAACAAAAGAACAGGACATGGGGGTCATTGCTCTCCCAAAATTCTTGCTCTTTGTAATTCTAAAAAATATCTGACACCTTACCATCCATCTTTGACCCCACACTTCCATTCATTCACACACGTATTTATTATAAAATGAACTCTTCTTTGATGTTTTGTACGTAAATGCATTGTATGCAAATGAACATATATTTTCTTTTATAAATTCTGCTGTATTTTGCAGAGGAGGATTATGTGGAGAGATGTCGATAGTGTCGTTTGGCTTTGTTTCTTTTGTTGAATAAAGCCATTCTTAAGGTTATCATAATCTTGTCTTCCTGCTGCTTTGAATTGCTTTTAAATTCATAACAGTACCCATAAATATATAATATAAAATGTCTATACACAATATAAAGGTAACTTATTTTTACCCAAACATACTAGTATTCAGCAATATCCTTATCTGTAACATGGGGGTGATGTCTACATAGTTTGTTTGAAATTAGTCCGTCTGCTAGTTCTCCCCAGATGGGAAGACTGGTCATGCCTGCTATCTACTGCATCCTATTCTTCAGAGTGAGCATAAAGAGAAAGAGAGGTGCTTATGTCTTTCCTTTTATAAACTTAGAAGCAGCATCACCTACCAGGCATCTTGACAGACAAGGTGGTGGTAACCCCCACAATATCACTAAAATATTTAGAGAATAAAATTAAAATTTCAGAACATAATTTTTGTATAAGAATCTCTTTCAAAATTTTTAATTTTCAGTTTGGGTAAATTTTTAATCTGTGAATTTTTTCATATCTAATTTAGAGAATAATATTTCCCTCAAAAATATCTTTTTCTTTTTAAAACTGTATTTTTAGAATTTAGAACAAAATTGAAAATTAAAAACAAAATTTTCAAATTTTTATCAAAGTTAAATTTGTTAAGTACAAAAATTATTTAACAAATTTTTAACTTAATTGATCATAATAATAATAATAATAATAATAAGTATTGATCATAAAAATAACTTTGCATTCGGTGTATGCATATGACAATGATGAATTTTTTAAATTCCCCTTCTCGAATACGATTTTTTAAAAATATAAATGAAATGAAAAATAAAATTTTGAATTGCAATTTAACAATAGAACTTACATTGGAAGTGTAACTTTTTTTTTATTGCTGCCATTTGGGTTGCCATGGTAACAAATAAACTTTTAAAATATTATTAGTTTCGTAACAATTTATTTGAAAAATATCTCTTGATGCAATTATTTTCTGATACTTTTGCATTTTCCAAATAATACAATTATTAACAGAATGGCGCTGCTCCGTATCTAAAGTTTTAATCATTAGGAGTTGTTTAATAATTTTTAAACAATTTATGCATTTAGGTATAAAGTGATTAGGCATTAGTTTCGTATTCACCTTTACAAAATTGAAATATTGAAATACCTGTATATTTAATTTAAATTATGTTTTTCTATTTGAAAGATGCAAGTTTTTATTCTGTTATCGCCTTTTTTTAAAGGTAGATGTCTAATTAAGATCAAGTAAAGTTAGGCTCTTTGATTTTCCCATCGAAGCGGTAGAAGAGAGTAGCTGACCTTGACTGTCTTGGGGCAGAGAGAGAAATTGTGAGAGGATTGCCTCTCCGCTTGTCTCTCGTTAAATTTTCATTTCTGTTCACCAAACAACAACAATCTTGAGAGAATGATGAGGTTTCGGTCAGTTCTTAAGGCCAGGTCTTTTCTCTACAATACCGCGACTGGACATACACTCGCCCGGCAGAGTGTCCGATGTTTATGTGTATCTGCTTTTAATTCAAATTATTCTCCGGGATTGTCAAGGTTGGTAAAGGATTTTTCTTCTTTGCGACCTTAAAACATTTCCCTTATTTTATTTGACCTTTGATTTCTTGTCCTATTCTTTTTCTTTAGCGACAAATAAGTCATTAGTTTCTTATTTGACATATTGAAATGACTGAATAATAAAAATTATAATCGTGTAATTAGAGCGTAACAGTTTCCTGTTGCATAAAAAAAATCATTACAATTTCTTAAACTTGAATATCTTTTTTCTACTCAATAAAAATCTTTTTTAATCATTAAATAATCCATTTCAATTCCATATTATTGTCCTTTTTTTAAAAAAAAATTCAAGGTCATCAAAAAAGAAAAGGAATTAACTTCTTCCAAATTAAAAACTAGGTTGACTTCATAATTAAAAAATGTTACCTCTGAAAATTGATTAAAAATCATTCTTGTTCTAGAGATTGTTGTATTGTACAATAATACGCCCACGAATTTGGTGAAATTTCTGATTTAAATGAAAAATATGTATTGGTGTTATTTTCTTATGAATAAAAACAATTCAATTTAAGTTGTGCAATCAAAAAGTTTGTTTTGAAAAACGATTATTTCCCCCAAAATTCAAATAAGATTGCATCAATTAATTAGAGGATTAATTTAAGAAAAAATCTTTTAATAAGTTGTAAAACTAAAAAAAGTAAAATTTTTGTTTATTTTTTAGCGAACTGGACAAAATTATTTTCTCGAGCTTTAAAAATCTGAATTGACATTATCATCACTCAATCAAGAAGATTGAAAATTTATATTTTGGAATAACGGGTACGAAAATATATGAATATAAATATTATTAAAAAAAAAAAAAAAAAAAGAAGCCATTTATGAAAACTGAGTTTGAAAGCTAAATTTAAAAATCTCGAGTTTAATAATTAAACTGAAATTATAAACCGGAGAAAAATAGATTTGATTTTTTTTTTTTTTTAAATGTAAATCTTAAAATAGTTGGAAAAATAGGAATATCATTATTTCTTTTCGAAAAGATAATCGCTTCTTGTCATTCATTCTAAAGTTATATAAATAATCAAATCAGTCATGGACTTTAGGTCAAAATTACAACTAATCCATTTCACTTTTTAAGTTAATCTCTATTTTTTTTTTAAATACAAAGAACATTGATTACTAGAAGAAATAATTTCTGGTATTAAAATTTAGTAGTAAAAGTAAAGTAAGCATTTTTTTAAATTTTTTTCAACTACCATAGTGAAAAATTAAAATGTCTTTAAAAATGTAACATTTTTTTTGTTTATTTTCTTCCTTTTTTGAGAACAACCCAACTTCTTGTGGAAAAATGTGACATTCATTCATAATAACTTTAAATGACCTGATTTCAGATATTATTCAACGGTTCTTTAAATAATGCGATCAAATATTACAAACGATTTTTGTTACGTTTTTTTATGTATTTTTTTTCAAACAAAACCATACAGTAAAAAAACTGATATTGAATGTAAATTGTAATTTTTAAGAAAAATTCATTCTGCCATTACCATGTTTTACTTTTTTTGTTTGTCTAATTTAATTAACTATTAAAAAAATAATTTTCCTACAAAACAAAACAGTTTGAGTTAAAATACAAATGTTCCTTATTCTGATATTCACATTTTGTTTTAATATTTAAAAAATTATTTGAATCGCATTTAAAATGTTTCTCTTTCTTCTTTTTATGTTACATCCGTACGAAAAAGGTGAAGGACGACAGATTTTTGTTCGACCTTTTACCTTCAAAACCAAGAGATGCAAATTATTTTTAAACTGAATAGTGAATAGTAAAGTTTTAGTTTCAGATACTGAAATATTGAATTTCATTAAAATAAAAAAATAAGTAAAATTATGACATCGACCTTTTCGTTTTGGCTACGTTGTTTTCTTTTTAGTTTTTCCTAATAATTTTTCTGATCCATTAGTAGAGAGGAACATTTTTTTTTTACACGCCTTAAGAACTTGCCAAGGTGAATAATAATGTAACAAGTGCTCGCCTCATTAAAGTTTCGCCCGCGTAAAAATATGTACAGCTTCTTTGCGTGTGAACAAGAAGAGAAACCTTATATAATCTGATCAGAGTCTCATCGTGGGAGGAAACTAATTTTCCTATTTTGTTCTGATATAAAAATAAATAAATAATGTCTCAACGTAATTAGCATAAAGTTGAGATAAACCAAATACTTGGGTTGTTAGTGGAATCGCTTTTTTAGTCTTTTTTTTAGTGAGTTTTTAACTTTATGAACTGTACTTTTTTTTGCTTCACATATGCAGCTGTCTAAAATCATTGAAGCGTGGTTCTATGAAAAACTATTTTTTCAAGTGGTTTTTAAGTTATTTGAATTCCACAGATTTTTATTTATCAGTTTGGAAGATTTTGATAATTTATTTTTATTTGCCGTGTCTAATTATTATAATTATAAAACACGAAAATTAAAATCATGATCCAATGAATAACACTTTATTAAGGGAATTTTAAAACGCTTGAATTAGGAAAGTAGAAGTATAAACACTTTTGAATTATGGATGCCTAAAAAAAAAAAAAAAAAAGAGAGGAGGCACGGTGGATAGCGGTTCGGATTGAAGAACCGGAAAGCCGAGTTCGAATTCCAGTCGAATCCATTACATTCACTTTCGTGCTAATGCCCTTGGGAAAGGCATGAATCCTCTTCTTCTCCTCTCGGCTATAGCCTTGGATGGCAACTGGTCTTCCTGCAGGAAAAAATCTGCCTCGTCAGTCATGTATCGAAAGGTACATGATCACCTAGCGTGTATCATGCATGGCACATAACTGACTGAAAAGAAACAAAACATCTATGGTTTAAAAAACATTTTAAAAATGAAAAATCTTAAAGCTTTTTTTTTTTTTTTTTAGTTTTAATTCCAAGGTAATAATTTGCTGAATTTCAAACCAAATTTAAATTGCTTGAAAAAAAATCTATAAAATAGTCCATATTAATAAATTTGTCAACACAACATTTTATGAAAAAATCTTAAAAATATACTGTTCTGAAACGTTATTTGAAAAAGATTATTTGTTTAATGTTTAATTAATCTGAATTGAAATAAATATTACTTATAGTTTATTATTTGCAGAAAAGCATTTTTTAACACATGTAGGTGTTTCTATAAAGTATTGACACATTTACAGCTTGGATAATTTATGTAAGAGGGTGATAATTGTAATAAAATTTCATGATGAATGAATGCAACATACACGTTCTTTATACATTTCATTTTAAACTACTCAATAATACTAAAAAGTCTCAAATGTTTTAATCATTTTAATATTTTATTGAATTTTTAGTATAGTCTTACAAAGATGAGGTATTATGCACACTATTTACATTATTCGAACTAATGTCCTTATCTTTGTCACCATATTTATTATAACGTTTCAGCCATTGTATGCTCCGGCCTTCTTCAGGTGGTTGGAATGTCAAACTGAACTATTTATTTCGCTCACTGGGGTAGACTGTTCTAGTGCCATGTTTAATGGATGTCAGTTATCAGTTAATTAGAACAGTCTACCCCAGTGAACGAAATAAAGGGCTCAGTTCGACATTACAACCGCCTGAAGAAGGCCGGAGCGTACAATGGCTGAAACGTTGTAATAAATATGGCAACAAAGATGAGGACAATAGTTCGAATAATATAAATAGTGACTTTCAAAGATGTTTGTTGAGGAAATGTTAGAAAATTACTATTATTTGATAATGTCATGTATAAGATGTTTGTATTTACAAAAATCAGCACGTTTATACATACGCAAAAATAATGAAAAATTCTTTTTAAAATATTGGTGTCAATGAATTATAGTAAATTTTTCCATTTATTAGTAAATACAGTTTTTATTTAATAACAATATCACTTGACCTCTATAAATTTGTACAAAATTTTAAAGTCTATAAATTATTCTAATTAAAATTAAAAAAAAAATATGAAATCAATTCTTTTAAAAATTTATTAGTCAACAAAAAAATTTTTTCATAAGAAAATAGTGTCCATAATATATTTTATTTATAAAAGTAATTAAAAGCTTTTCTAATTAAATACAATTTTTGTTTTATTTCAACTTTTTTTCTTAAGTCGGAGCATATTTTCTGTAACTGGGAGTCCTGTTTGATCGAAGCAATTTTATTTAAATTCTCCAAAGACTTATCCTTATAACTAATATAAACATTAAGCACTACAAAAAAGAATTTCTCAAAATTTTTTAATATGGGAAGTTTCATTAAAACCTGCAATTAATTTTTGAAAGAATTTCCAAATAACTCATTGCAAAAAAATGCTCAAATTTCTCATACAAATTTACGGTCTCATGTCGATGAGACAAAAAAACCAAGAATTTTAGGCTTAACACATCACATTGAAACACCAGTTTCAGTATAATCACTGAAGTTAAGCAATGTCGAGTCTGATCAGTACCTTGATGGGTGACTACTTGGGAATACCAGGTGCTGTAAGCTTGGACGTGCAGGTGGTATGATGGATAATTGCTTGGAATTTTTAATTGGAGATCCAAGTTACAATTTCTGTTTGGTTTGTTATATTCACTTAAGTGCAAATGCCCTTGACAAAGGTATGACTCTGCTTCTTCTTTCCCCAGCTATGGGTTCACTAAAACTTGGATCCCTGAACTATAAAGTTCTCCTTCTCTCCAAAAAAAATTTACAATCTAAAAATATTTTCTGGCTTTAAATAACCTGTAGAAAACCAATTAATAAAGATTTCTAATCAAAATTTAGAAGGTTCTAAAGGATTTGTTTTTATTAAGTTTGGGGCATTTATTTTTATCATGTATGCTCATTATTTTATTTAGTGAATCTTTGGAGGTACCTAATTTAATCACTTACTTCTTTTTTACATGATTAGCTTTTAGAATCTTAATCTTTAGTGTTATTACTAAAAAATATGAAATCTTATTTAAACGCTACAATTCCCCTTCCAACTCTTGCAGCAAATCACTGGTCTAACCTATCCTTGACATTTGATTTATACATGTATGTATTGTGTTTTTGTTGAATGATTTAAATGAGAAGTTAGTACACGTTGATCCTGATAATTTTTTTCTTTTGCCTTATCCCTATTTATCTGTATAGTCTCTTAACCCATTTCCTTTACTATTGATAGATAATCTGATGGAAAAATTTCTATGTATAACAAAAACGGATTGGATCTTCTTGGCCTGCAAAAATATGATCTATAATCTTTATAATTGTAAACTTTATTATCTTCCTTTACATTTGGACTATGGAACGTTTCTTAACTTTTATACTAACAATATATTGGTACTGAATACAACAGATACCTGAAGAAACCAGAGGGTTCATCAGCCGAAACACACTGACTATAACAACCAAGATGAGGATATAGTCTGAATATAAAGGCATGAAATAATGATAATTTCTCATTTAAAAAGGTTGCACATAAATTATATTCTAGTTGTTAAGGATCTGAAGTCAAATTAACTGACACAGAAATATGAGCTGTTTTATCTGAAATCATGTCCATTCATCTTCCTAATTAAAACTTTGGTATATTTCATTTATTACAGTTTCTTCTTAATTTTAAGTTATATATATGTATTGGTCATAGACTTCATATAGTGATTGAAGTTTAAAAAAAAAATACCAGTTGTGTTTTAATTTAATTAAAGTAGGAGGTGTGTTCCCACCCCACCTCCCTATCTTATCACAATATAAAATGACCTGAGATTAAGTTAAGGTTATTAATGTGATTGTCAATGTTTTTTGTCAAGGCTATTTTAGCCTTGCCATAGATGACAAGGAGAATTTAAAAACATTTTTTTTTTTTTTTAATGTTCATTAGCTGTTTGCATTGGAATGAAAATGTTAGACACAATTGAAAATATATTCTTGGCTTTTGTCAACATACACATAAGATTTGTATGGCAAATGAACCACTGGAAATGTATACAAAAGAGAATATGAACACATTAGTCCTTGGAATGATATACTTTGTTGATATTGTGCTTGAAGTTTTTACTTGAGGATGCACAGTTCTTGACTGGATTCTAAAAGTTCATTTCTGATTGGTGAGGCCTTTTTACTAACTTTACTCTGATAATCAAATTCAAACCTTTTCAAGGTGACTCTTCTTGTGTTTAAAGTCCTTGTTAACTATGAAAAAACATCAACAATATGCACTAATGTTTACAATTCTTTCTAGTCTATTGTCTTTATCTTTTTTAATGAATTTGTTACAAGATCACAGAGCATTAATATTTTATAATCTTTTATAATTTGTGTAAGGTTAAAAATTTTGTCTGTGTTTTCACCTTACATCAGTATGACAAACGGCTCATAATAACCTTGTGTTACATCCAGCCTTGGTGGGGAGGCTGGGCAAATATAGTATAGTGTTAATATGAATTTACTAACAGTCTTTTATATACAGGGGTTGGACAAAATAATTGAAACACTTGCTCCAGTTCTTTAAGACATGACGGTGGAGGATAGCGGCTCCTAACTTTGTTGCTCCAAAATGCACCACAAATGTTCAATAATATTGATATCTGGAGATTAGGGAGGCCATTCCATGTGTTCTAGCTCACTTTCATGCTCTTCATACCAATTCTTAACCACTTGAGGCGGTATGTATTGGAGCATTAGTGTCTTGGAAGATGCAGTCACCATCAGGGAATAAAGTCTGGGCCATTGGATGAACATCATCTCCAAAATATTCAGGTAATCTTTGCTGTTGATTCTACCATACAGGGCATTTCCATGATATGGCGGCCCAAACTATCACTGATCCACCTCCATGCTTCGCTGTTGGAAGAATGCAGTCAGGGTTGTAAACTTCTTTGGGCTGCCTCCACATATAAACTCGCCCTGAATTTGGGAAAAGAGAAATACTGGACTCGTCTGAGAATGACTTGCTTCCATTGGTCTGCAGACCAGGCATTGTGATCTCTGCTCCACTTCAACCTCTTCTGAATGTTGCATGTGGAGAGAAGAGGTTTCCTTATGGTGACTCTTCCATGATATGCAGCTTTATGGAGCTCACAGCAGTTTTAGTAGAAACTGGAGTATTCAGATGATTATTCAACTCAGCAGTCACTTTGGCAGCAATAGTCCGATGATTTTTTGCCACATTGCATTTCAATGCACGTCAGTCCCTGTCAGTAAGTTTGCAAGTCCAGCCCAAATTGCTACAGTTGCTAGAGGTTTTGCTCTGTTTCTCAAATTGCATCATAGTTCTTGATATGGTAACTCTTGAAAAACCAAACAGTTCAGCAACCTTAGTGATCTAGGTTCCTGCTATGCGAGCTCCAACAATTTGCTCTTTTTCGAACTCGGAGAGGTCATGCATTCAGCTTAAATTTTACTAAATTCTAAAACTAAATAAGACAGACAGTAAATTAGATAAATAAACATATTTACAATAGATATAACCTGCAATTACAAAGTTTTAGTTAAAGTTCTTAATAGGTCTTTGAAATATAGGAATGGAATTTGCACCTGTTCCAATTATTTTGTCCAACACCTGTATATTATTAACAAATGGTGTTTGCTACATAATTGTTAACATTTAATTTGCATAACAATTTTTAAGAGCATATTTTAATAAATATTTGATATCGTTATTTATTTTTAATGCAAATTTTAAAAATTTGCTATATATATATATATATATATATATATATATATATATATATATATATATATATAATGATTCAATTGATAAAGCTATTTTATTTTTTAAATTTGTTTTGTAGAGAAGGAACTTATATCTTGTTTGTCAAAATTCAATTGTAAGTTAGAAAAAGTCAGAGCATTTAAAAAAACAAAATAAATATAATCTTTGCTTCAAAAAATCTCTTTTTTAAAAAAAAAAAAAAAGACAAAGTAGTTTTAAAAAAATATTAAAATTATTCTCAAATTAATTAGGATCTTTTCTGCAGTGTTCTTAATAACCATTGTTATCATCTAACATTTTATATTGCAGCAAATTAGTCAAGTGGATGTGAACATTTTTTTTATGGAATTATCAAAATAAGTTAAAATAAGTCAATATATCTAGTTCCACATGCCATGCCTCTTCTGAATGTCTCGGTTATCTCAACTCAATTCTTCAAGTTTTTGTTCATTACTGCCATAGCCAGGTATTGAGTTCACAATTTCTGAATCCAACTAACATTTTTATCCATTGGGCCATATGTCCTTGAGGGCATCAATGTATGAATTTTTGGGACTTATAAACTTAATGTCTCGGTAACTCTTTTCTTTTTTTTTTAATCAGAGCTCATGCAATTTTGTTGTTATTGCTTTTTCTCTAGCACTCTGTATTACTGGTTCCCATTTTTCATTTCTATGCTTGGGTGGCTTAGGAGATTTTTGTGGCCTCCAATATGTGCTGATTCCTTAAGTTTTTGCATTTTCCAGTGATGTTCTCTGTCTATTATTTCAACCTCATTCCATAGCAAGACATCCAGATCTTGGGTCATCTTGGAAACTCTCCCTTTCCCTCTTAAATTCAACTGCCCACTTTTATATTGTTGATAAAGCTGGGACGTTATCCCCTAATATAGCAACCATGATGGCATGAATGTCATTTGGGGCAAAACATTATTTTTGCAAGTACTTGATAACTCCACAAGGCCAAATTTTTTTCATTTTCAAGAGAAACTGCTACTTATTACTTTTGAAGTCTTCTTTGAACAGTCAGATGTCAGTTTACCTGGAAAAGACATGTTGCAGTTATTAATAAGAAGAGTTGAATAAATGCATACAAGATTTCATAGCTCTAGCATCTTTTCTATGAACTTTTCAGTCCACTTTTGTATACTGAATAGGTTATTTTATAACAAAACTTTGTGGTATATTTTTTTTTTTTTGTGGAGGTGCTTCGTTTGGTTGCATCAAGTCCCACCTTGAAGACAAATGTTGATTTCAATTGAGCAATATTATCAGACAAAGGCGACTAGAAATAATCATTTCTATTCTTTTGGTGGAGCTGAAAACATTATCACAGCATAGAATGGGGATGCAATATCAATGGTTTGGCCAATGTAAAAGTTGGAGTCATAACTAAAGGTCACTTGTGCTCGGCGTTCTTCATCACTACTGCTAGAGTTGTTTAAATACTTGAAATCATTAAGTGCTTTTTCGTCTTTCCTTTGTCAAAGAGGTGGAGATGAATCAACTGATTTTCCTGTCATCAGGTAGTTGCAAAGAGCAGCTTCCAGCTGAGATTTACTTCCACAGCTGTTGATCTTGATATCTAAGAGAACTTTCAGATATCTGAGTTGATCTTTCAGTGATTCCAAACCTCTACTTGTATATTTTTAATGGACTTCACAGGACCACCATATTTGATGACAAATTCTCCATTTCTCAGCAGCAGCTTAACACTAAGCTTTTTTCTTCTTTTGCCTCTCCGTTTTAGCACTGATTGGCACTCAGTTGCTGGTTTTGCTTCCAGCCAGCTTAAACATGTTTGACATTGATCAATAGTGAAATGATGCATTTATTTATTTATTTTTTTCAGTTCCACCCACAACTTTCAACTGTCAGTAATACATTTAGATTTTGAGAAAACTTCTTTTACACTTACGTAAAAGAAAACTTTTTACACTTACATAAAAGAAAAATACCTGAAGATTTTACTTGAGTTAAAAAAAAAAAAATCAACTGTGAACATACTGAAAGTTTGTCATGAACTTTACCAAAAGATAACTTAATAAAACTCAAAAAAACATTTCTGTTGTGAGTTGGCACTTGCATAATTTAAAAGATTTTCTTTCTTATTTGAAGCAAAAATTCTACATTGAATATCTATTTTTAAAAAATGTACTTATAATTTTTCATTATACTTCTAAAATTCCTTCAATATGGAATTTTTCTATTAACTGAAGATATGTTTTAAGAATTGAATAATGTAAAGTTAATATCATTTTTGAGTATTAACATCAGAATGCTACTGTGGTTATGACAGCTCATAGGTTACTCTGCATAAATACACATTATTTTCTCTGTGTTTTAAGCAAAAAATAAGTATTATTTTACAAAATCCAGTAGTTTATTCCTAAATTTTACTAATTTACTTTGAAAAAAAAGGTAAATACTGGATTTTTAAATTTATTTTCACTTGTCATCAAGAATGGAGATTTGGTGAGTGACCATGGCAATATTTTATGTTTTAAAATGTTAAAGACCTTATTTAATTTTTTTTTTTTTTTTTTTTTTTTTTTACACAAATTAGCTTTAGGCTGTTATCTTTCAAATAAAAGCAAAATTTAACTTGAAAGAAGGCATTTAGATTATTCAAAATGAGTTTTAAATTTTTCTTCAGTAAGTTTGTAGTGATACTTTGTAAATGACCATTAAAAGTTGTATTTTAATTTTTTTAGGGACAAACGAGAATGAGAAAAATTTAAAGAACTTGTTTCAGTAAAATGGAAAAAATTATCAATTTCAAATCTTTTTTATTTGTACCCCCTTACTACTTTAAATAACGACCAGCATTCATATTTATGATTGTTATTGCAATATTTTGTTAAAGTTGTTAAGCTCAAATATTTAATGATGCAATAGAATTACTATAGATATATTTTTGCCATAGAACCTGCCATTAGCTTTGTTCAATCATTAGCTTAAGAATTAAGTCATCAGAATATTAAAACAGAAAACCATGAAATTTTCAAAGGTTTTTCTAGTAAATAAATGCTTTATGCTGTTTTAAAATGCATCATTAAAGAAAATATAAGAAAAAGATTTAGTCTGTGTAAAATCTATCAATGAAACAAGTCTGATTTAAAATGGAATTTGGCTGGTGATGTTCATTCTTTGGTCAGCAATACAAATTTCAATGTGTTGGACAGTTTTTCATAAATGCTGTATACTCTCTATTTGATTCATGTGCACCTAGAGTCAGTGTCAGCACAGAGGCATAAAACTAACCAATTATTAAAGATGAGACCTTGTTCTATAGTACAAGGTGGTGTATGTCTTTTTTTTTTTTTTTTTTATGTTGAATTTTCTCTGGTATTTCATCCCCTAAAGTTTAAGATGGGATTATTTTGATATTGTCTAGACAGACAATTTGGAGTACAACTAATTTAAAAAACCCAATATGAAATTGTCAACTTTGAAAATACGGAAAATTGCTGTTCATCATGGAAGTAGTGACATAATTTAAAGAGATGTCATTTTAATAATCTTCACATGTTCTGATGGTGCCATCTTCATTTCAGATTGGCAATACCAATTGTTCTTGTCTGAATATTGCACTTGAAAGTGACTGCTCAACCTCACCATCAGGTTCAACAACTCTTCAACTTTCTCTTTTAATATGTATTGAACCAGTTGAGCAATGGCTATTTCATTTTCTGCCTGAGTCCACAACTTATCTTCAAATTTTCTTTTTCTCTGTCATCCACTTTTAACAAACTGTTCATGTAAAACTCCTTCATCTAATTGTTGTCTAGAAGTGATGATGGACAATGTGGCATCACTGACATTAGCAGCCTCTTCTCTTGACCTTTAAATTTAATAATGACTGCTATAATACTGATCACTTCAACTGTCTGACTTGAATGTTTTTTTGTTTTTTTTAAACTCTACTTCATTTATAATTGACATGGTAGTTCCAGAGTTAATTTCCCTTTTCACATCTTTAACAATAAACCTTTTCATCCTTGGTATCTTGTGTGTAGAGATCAAATAATGTCTTATAATCTCTTGTCATTAATTTCTGAGAATTCCTTCACTTCACTTGGTTTAAACTTCTTGTTCTTCTTCACTTTTGCAGCATGTTTTTTGCCAAAGTGTGCAATATTGGAGACACTGCAAAAGAGATGATCAGAGATAAAATTGTGGTATTTGAGATTTTAACATTGAAGAGAAGTTTAAATCTAAAGAAATTGGTTTACCTTTTGAGCATGCAGAGAAGGAAATTCTTTTCATGAGGCATGAGTCATTAAATAAGTTACTCTTTAAGTTCTACAAGGAAAGGAGATAGAAAAAAAGGCAATTGTGAATCAAGAAACCACCTGTTAATGATTAAGAAATCCAGAGAAATAAGGGTTATTTTTTTTTTTTTTTGTTTTTTTTTTCTTTCTGATGAGACTCAAGAAATTGTGACCCTGAAGATTGTGCATTCAGAAATCAAAAGCTTTTGCTTTCTATCTTCTGTTTCTTCTTTTAAAACAATCTTTCATTTGGCTTAGGATTTAATTGTCCCTGTAGAACAGTTTTTTTAAATTCATCTACTTGCATATTGGTTGCTTTAAAATTTTCAGTCATTTGTATTTCAAGTTTCAAATTTCTTAGATAATAGAAATTATGTAGTTTTTTTTTTTTATTTGTATCGTTCAGCTGTGAAATAAAACATGTAATCATCTTAACTAATCATCAAAGTTCATTTTAAATTGTCCTATCAAATATTGGGCTGCAATTTTAAATTAAACTCCAAAAATTTTCTCCTTGAACGTCACTTTAATCTCTAATATTTTCTGATTATGTTCATGATTGACAGGAATACCAGTATTATGCATGAAGCCAATGGAATCTTTTTTCAGGCTTGGTTTGCATCCAGGTGTTTTCTATTCTACTTAAGTTCTATTACAAAATCATCCCCCCTATCTCTATGCCAGTCTGAGCAGGTACTTGGGTTAACTAATTCAATCCTACAAAGTTCAACACTGATAATTTAAATGTGTTTGTGTTGGTTCAAACTCAAAATGGTGAACAAAAAAACCTGAATTTCCACAACACGAATAGGAAGGTCAGAGTACCTACCAACTGAAATGTAGTAATCACAACAACAAAGATGAGGACACTTGTCCAAATAATTCCTGAAATAATTGGTTAAGTGATACAAGAACTTGTGAGTTTGGTGTTTTTGTGTTATAGGTTGATCAACTTTTATATTTTCAGGTGTATCAACAAGAGTTCTTCCTGGAATGAATCTCCTCACGTCTTTAGATTTGGCCAACTGCAGTTGTGTCGCATGTACAGTTCAGGTAAGGACTCCGCTGTTGCTTCATTCTTGAATAATATTGGTAGAAACAAACTCCATTCATGGAGTGACTTAATAATTATTGGTACAGATCAAGTTTATCTTTGTGTATTAATAAAATACAGAAATGCAAAACTGGGCTTATTTTTCCTTTTTTTTTCTAATCATCATAGCAGTACTTAATACAACATTATTGATGTGATTCTAAAATATAAATTATTTGTCAAAAGCTTTGAGAAGGGTCGTTAACATTGCAAATTTTGTTTGGACAATTTGTTCATGTTTTTCTTAGTGTTGACATTTCAGCGATTGTTTTTGGAATAATCCAGGAAGGAAAAAAATATTTCTTGTGACAAAAACTGAAGACTGGATTTGCTAAAATGAAACTGTTCAAATGTCTAGATGAAATTGGAAAATCTTTTATTAAAATTTTAAATATTAAAAAAAGATATTGTTTGTTTGAATTGCACCTTATTTTGTGTGGCTGTTGCATTATAGGTTTTGAAAACTGATTTTCCAGTTTTTTTTTAATTTCCTTTTTGTAGATTTTTATTTTTTGCAGCAGCAAAATCATTCTTTAAGCTTTGAAGTTTTGCTAAAATAACCTTTTCACATTGTGTTTATTACAGAGTTTCTTTTTGTTATTTCTTGCTTCAGTGAAATGCATTATTTAATTTGTTAATGCCAGACAGATGTATTTTCTTCCTTATGCATTTCTTCATGAAAACATTAAATTTGCAACTAGAAAATTTCATGTATAAAAAAAAAAAAATTAAAGAAACAAATATCTATTCCAGATGAGAAATTTTTCAAGTTTTTAAATCAAAAGTTATAATTTTGAATCAAAGGGCAAATGTCATAAAAAGTACAAATTAGGTAAATGTATTTCATGGGCATTTTCTCTTTGTATTATGTCTGAGGCAAATTCACTTGGTATGGATCAGTTACTTTGAGCTTAATTTATCTAAGATTGTAATAACTCTCCTTGAGATGTTTCAAACTCAGTTGCCAACTAAAATAGTTTTCACAATAAACAGCATCTGTCTATATTTCTGAGATGAGGTATCATGTACATTATTTGGACACTTGTCCTCATCTTTGTTGCCATATTTATTACAATGTTTTTGGCCGTTGTACGCTCCGGCCTTCTTCAGGCTGGAATGTCGAACTGAACCCTTTATTTCACTCACTGGGGGTAGACTGTTCTAGTTCCATGTGCCATGTTTAATGGATGTCAGTTATCAGTTATCTCCTGTTAATTTCCCTCTGAAAGTTGTCCACTGCCTTAGTCGGGTATTGAACTCACACTCTTTGGGTCTTGTTACTGGATCTAACATCTTTATCCACTGTGCCATGTGTCCTTGAAGATGTCTGTGTATGAATTTCTGGGTAATAGTTGCTGAAGACATTAGGTTTATATACCCAGAACAATAGTCCAAATAATGTAAATAAAACAGCATTCGATATTCAAACTTAACACTGAACCAGACACCCTTATACGGTGTGTTGGAAGTATTTCTGCCATATCCGCTATCTTCGATGATTAATTTCAATAACATGGTAACTTTTATTTTTTAATAGAGGATGGGAAAATGAACTCCTTTATTTGTATGCAAAACTCTTCAATTTTTAAAAGAGTGAATTGTGTTGCTTATACATTTTGTACCTGTTAAGTACTTTTTTTTTTTTTTTTTTTTTTTTTTGTCTGTTTGAAGGATGTTTTGTCTGTTTTGTAGATCTTCCTGACCACTTCAAAATCTGTCTCCCTGCATTGTCTCCAACAATGGAAGCAGGTACAATTGTCAATTGGCAAAAGAAAGAAGGAGATAAAGTTTCTGAAGGGGAACTCTTAGCAGAAATTGAGACTGATAAAGCCACCATGGGCTTTGAATCTTCAGAAGAAGGGTTTCTTGCTCGAATTTTAGTGCCGGCTGGATCTGCAAATATCCCTGTTGGAAAGGTAAGGTGAAAATTAGTTACTATCAAACATGATTCATCAATAGTTATTAAACTCACTTTGAAATTTTCTGATATGTGTGCTTGCCATGGAATTAAAAGAAATACAAGAAGAAAAAGATTCAATTTCCCCCTCCCCCTTGTTATAAAATGTCTTTGCAAAAGAGAAAAGAATTCTCTAAAATGCACTATTAATTAATTCATGGGTGGAGGAGTTAAACCTTTTTTCATTGAGCAGAAATTGAATTGTAATGATTCTTTTTGGTTGAAGAAACTATTTCCTTATCACTTGCCAAAGACTAATAAGTCAGTTGATTAAAATACTACAGAACAACTTTAAACCCAATTTGCTTTGTTTTATTTTTAAAAAAAAAAAAAAAAAAAAGAAAGTTACATAAAATTTAATGAAAAATTGGCCGATTTTATTTTTAATTGTATTTCTAGTATTAGGTGCAAGTATTTAAGTTGACTTCTAAGTTTGTAAAGAATATTTTAATCAGTCAATTGATTATCTCTTGACAAACAGAATAATTTCCACAATACTTTGGATCTACTGAAGGAATCCATCATGGTTTGGTTTTTATTATAAAGCCATTTTCATTTTGCTTTGCTGTTACAAATGAAAGAGAATAGTCATTGTTTTACTTATGTGTGGATGTAGATTTAGTATCAAATGGGAATAGTAGACCAACCTCCCCAAATTGCAAGGCATATCAACTTTGGCATTAGTTTGGCAATAAAAATTGAAATGTTCCCACATATTCAACAAGTGGACATAGGAAGTCATTTTATTTCCATTTTGGTGAACTGAAATGTATTGATTTGAAACTTGTTTTTGAAATTCACTTTTGTGATACATATTGAGTCTGATAATTTGTTGTAGAATTGCAAGTCCATTGCTGAAAAATTACAGAATTGCTCTTGTCACCTACATTCATTGCTATTGCTCTGTAATTAGAGTAATAATTTCTACCAAACTTTTACTTGGAGTTGATTTATTTATACAGATGTACTATTTATAATAAGGTAGTATATTTGATATATAGAGATCTTGCAGGCTAGAATTATTTCCACTAGTAAGAAAAAGTTTTAAATATATGCATTCTGTACCCATGACTTTTGAAAAAGCTTAACTTTATAGGAAGTACTGTCCTAATTCTACAAAATGATTGTAGGATTTTTTTTCTTCTAATGGTTCTGGTTATGACCTTGTAAAAGCTAAGTTCTTGGTAACTTTTTTTTTTTCTTACTTATTCTCTTAAGCCAGTTCCTGGAATGAAATTGTACATGTTGAGATTTTCATTTTAAGCAAGTGCATTCTTTATTTTCTCTCTCTTTCAGTTGCTTTGTGTCATTGTGTGTGAAGAGGATGGCATTGAGGCATTTAAGAACTTTGTGCCAACAGCTGAAGATGATGAAGTGATTGGTGGAGGTGCCCCTGCAGCAGCACCGACCCCTCCTCCGCCTCCCCCAGCTCCTAAGCCAGTTGCAGCACCTGCACCTTCACGAGCCCCAGCCCCTGTTGCAGCTGCCCCACACTCACAAGAGGCTCGAGACCGGGTGTTTGCAACACCATTTGCCAGGAAGTTAGCAGCTGACAGAGGAATTGATTTGAATGTAAGTCTTATGTTTTTTGGCTTTTTTTTTTTTTTTATTAAAAATTAAAGGTTGAATATGAACAGAATGTTACATCGAAGTGTGTGTGTGTGTGTCTAGATATAGATAGAGATATATATATATATATATATATATATATATATATAGATATATATATTGATATATATAGATATATATATATAGATATATAATTATGAAATGGACAAAGTCCAACAATTATTTTAAGACATTTTTTTATGTTTATACATTCTTTTCTTTAGATACAAATATTTAAGTAAATACTCTGTTTATAATAAACAGTATTAACAACATTTACTGGCCTGAATGTCTGAGAAATTGTCATAGAAAATATGCGTCTTCCGACAAGAATCGAACCTGTATCCTATATGCTAACTGAACGCTCCTCTATGGTGAAATCAGTAAAAGCACGTCAGGCTATATGACAGTTCCATATAGGATACAAGTTCGATTCCTGTTGGTGGATGCATATTTTCTATGAAAATTTCTGACATTCAGGCCATAAATGTTGTTAATGCTGTTTATTATAAACAGAGCATTTACTTAAATATTTTGTATCTATAAAAAAAAGAATGTTTAAACATAAAATGTCTTTATATATATATATATATATATATATATATATATATATTTTTCAAATGTTTCAATTATTCTGACAGCCACAATATTGGGACACCCAGTGAGAATCAAAGTCCCTACAATTGCTTGCTAGTCATCATTCTTTAGAATGCACTTTGATATATATAGTAGATATTTGTTGTCACCTAAAGGGAACAACTAAACTATTGTTTACAAAATAATAATACAAGAAAAAAAATAGTAGTAGTAGTATTTGTTCCCTTTGAGTTTTGCCTACTCCCCCCACCCCAGCTCATCGTACAAGCTCTTTTTAATATTCCAGCACCTACCTTGGATTTTTTACCAAATTTAGTAAAACTGCCAATGAAAGGTTTCAATTCAAATTTCTAATCCTAATTTTTTATCAACATTTTGGGATTTTTTCAAGCTTTTCTTTTTCTTTCATTATTCTGTTCTCTGACATCTTTTCGTACAATGACAAGATCTGTTTTACTTGTCTCCACCTCTATTTTATTTATTTAGCATTTATTCATAGCAGAAATAAACTTAATATTGTGAATTCAACAGAAATAGTGCATGATAAACTTTTTTTTTATTACTACTTATTTAATAATATTTTAAATATTATAAAAGTTAGGGACCTTCACTAATTTGTGATACTTAAAATTTAAAATAAATTTAAAAAAATGAAAAGGCTTTCTTGAAGCTTTCATTTTAGCTTTAATTAAAAGCTGAAGGATTAAATTTACTATTTCCAGTAAGCAAAATACTCTGGTGTACTTCAAACAAATTATCTTGATAGGAATAGATGTTTTTTCTTTCTAAAATTGCTGATTAGTGCCTTTTTTTAGTTGTCTTTCATCACAATGCAATTCTCTGTATTAAAAAAAATCTTCCAAAAATAAGATTTCTGAAACTTTATTTGAGGAATATTAGCTGATTTAAAGTATAATTAATCTGATTTGAAACAAATATTATTTACTTTAAGTTTAAAATAACAAAGGAACGTATTTTTAAAACAAATAGTAGTTGTGTTTTTAACCGACAGTTGCCATGTTTTACGTGATTGATGAGTGATGACATAATGATTGTTGTTCTACGGTGACCTTATCTGTAAAACATAATTTAAGAAAATGACATGAGCATCTTTTCTATATAATTTTTGAGTATTCAGTAATCTTAAAAATGTTGGAAAATATTCTTCATAATCTAATTTTAGGAATGTTGACTTTAAATTTACTAGAGTCATTGCTCTTATTTTCTGATAGTGTCATGTATGGTCAACCATACTTTCAAAAATGAGCATGTTACATAATATTTTATATACATAAAAAAAATTTAAAATTATTTTTAAAATCTTGGTGCAGAAAGATTTGTATTAAGGTTTCAATTTTTGATTAGTAATTATAGTTTTCACTTAATAATGTGACGATGTTGTCTGCATGTCATTCACTGCACAACTGTGATAACATCTAAAACTTAATGTCTTATATACAATTAAAATTTAATGTTCATTTTTTTCTCTCTTCATTATGATCAAAAAACAAAGAATAACGACATGCTTTTCAAGACAGTGGTTGGGAAATAGCAACATTATGATTTCTCACTTAACTGTGGTATTCTTTTGTCAGCTTTGAGAAGGTAGGCTGCTATCTTGCTAACTTCCAGCCATGGAAAGAGGACATTTACATTCACTGCCTATTGTTTTGGTGACTGCTAACTCACTGCTGGTCACTTACTTACTTCCTGCCTCTCTCTACTTATATGGGGAGGGGGTTAATTTGCAGTATAAGCACCAAAAGCCCCTCGGTGTTGAGAATGTGCCGTTCTGGTGTGAAATTACCTAGTTATTTAAAAAATGACATTAAAACATTGCACTCAATTACCAATCTCACTTTATCGTCAATATAAGTTCGATCTCTTTCATGTTGCCTGGCTGCCATTACTGGCATTGTTTACAAACATTTTCCTCTAGTCGTAATGTATAGAAGCTTAATTAACGGCCTGTTTACAGCTTTTTGTATCGTGTTGGTCTTGATTACTGTGCGATTTTCACGAATGTTATTTTAAAATGAAGTTTTAAATGAATAGTATTTTTTCTTTAGTGTCCTTAATAAATCTGCTTATAGCTAATAAAACAGAATCTCACCCTAAAATGTAATTTATGAAGCTTTAAATTCAAGAAACTTTCACGATACATAAAAAAAAAAAAAATCATTGAAAAAAAAAAGTAAAAAATCCTCTTTTTACTTTTCAGGCATGTAATTTTTATTTTATTATATTTTAATTATGTTTTTTCATGCATTATTTTGCACATTAATTTCAAACTTTGCGCATTAATCAAGACAAGTGAAGCTTCCGTGCAGCATGACTACTTAAGGCAAACATATGTAAACAAAGCCACTAATGGTGGATGTTCTGTGTATGTGACCAGAAAGAAGTTGAACTTACATTGTCCATAACTTCTAAACGGTAATTGAGTCTGTTTTTTTAATGTCATTTTCAAAAATAACCAAAAGTTTCATTTTAAAGAATGGTACATTCTCAATAACATAGTCTTTTGGTGCTTATACTGCAAATTAACCGACTGGGAGGAATCCCACCATCCCCTATCCATCCACTTGTGTTCCAGAAAAAGAGACCACCCAAAAGCTGGATGGGTTTCAAATTTTTTTTTTTTTTCTCTGCTTTTATTTTTATCTAAAATTAAATTCAATTTTATGTTTGCCAATTCAAAAGCTTGCTGGAGATAGGAATCCTGGAAACTCTGGCAATTAAGTTGACTCAAAGATGGACTGGAAACAAAATTCCTAAGAAACCCTGGTAACCAGGTTGACTTAAAAGGAATTTATCTACTTATCTCCTAAGGATGTATAACAAATTGTATTGTTACAATAACAATATCACCTAATGCAATTAAAGTAATTCAGAATTTTAAAAGCTTTTTTTAAAAATTATTATAAGTTCTAATTAAAATTAAAAAAAAAATGAAAACAATTTTTGTAAAAATTCATTATTTATTGAAAAAATTTTTTTTTTCTTAAGCCATTAGTGTACTTAAATCGTATTTATAAAAGCAATTAAAAGCTATTCTAATTAAATAATGTCAGTTTTATTGCATTTTTTATTTTACAATTTGGAGCTGAATTTCTGGAAATTAATAGCAGTTTGAAAAAAACAAATTGATTTACATTCTCTAAGGAGTCCTATTTTTAACTAATAAAACAGATTTTGTAATTAAAATTTAATTTCTTGAAAGTTTATGAAAGTAAAGGCGGGATGGGTAAAATATGTAAAAATAAATAAATAAAAAAAAAATAAAAAATTTAATTTGTCAAGAAGTCCTGAAAGTTTCATTAAAATCCAACAATAATTGGATTTTTGCAAGAATTTCCAAATCACTGTTTTTCACTGGAAAAAGGTGCTAAAACACTAATTGTAAATATGTTGACTGCTAACACAAAAAAAAAAAGATTTTTAATCAAATTTTCAAACATACTAGAAAGGGTTAAAAAATTTAATAAAATAATTAAAAAATACTTTGGTCTTTCCTCTTAATAATAAACATTTTGACAATTAAACTTTGTTTTTATTAAGTTTGGGGCCTTTTTTTTTTTTTTTCCTCATGCTATGCTATTGTTTTCAGTGAATTAGTGGGGGATACGTATTAAAGTTGACATACAAACAAATCCATGCTCAAAGGGCACACTCTCTCTATATTTGTTCTTGTTATCTGTTCATTGTTAGTAAACTATAATTTCTTTGTTGAATTTCAACACACAAAAATAAACAAATTGGATGACCTTTTGTAGTTTCTGATGTGCAAAAAATATTTTACTTTTTAGTTTCAGAATAGATAAAAAAAAAAATACTTAAAAAAACACAACTTTTCTTACAGGCTGTTATTGGTTCTGGCCCAGAAGGACGGATTGTGGCTGAAGATATTGAGAAATTTGTACCCTCTGCAGCTCCACAAGCCGGAGTTGCTCCAACTGCATCTGCTCCTGCAGTCACTCTCGCACCTCCAGCCGGCACTGCGTATGTAGATATACCTCTGTCCAACATTAGACAAGTAAGTATATATTTTTTTTATTTTCTGTAAAGCCAGGCAGTAGAGAGTGAGGGCAGAACTTTGCATCATATTCGTTAGCACAAATGGAAATATTTCATGGAAAATGACCCATGTAAATGTTGATGAACAATTCCAGTGTCATCAGATGAATTTTTCTCTGATTCTGTAACTTCTTTCTTGAAAAGGACTGAATATTTGAAAGTGCTGCTAATGAAACTTTAATGTAACATTCTCTGCTCATTCTTGGAATTAAATCTTTTTGCTCATTGCATACAAACATTGTGTTTAATGTTTGCTTTTGTTAGTATGTGTGTGTGTTTCACAAACACTGAAAAAAACCTCAATGTGACAGTCACACAGTACACAAGCTCACTCAATGGTATCTCTCTACTGACTGAGTAAACTTGTGGGAGAACATTTGTTCATGTTTCTGCAGTGAGTGTTTCTGTTATTGATTGTCAAGTTACATTCAGGCGATGTAAATGATTTGCAAGATGTTCAAAATGGTTGGTGCCATTGTTGAAAGGTACTTTGCTTTTGTTGTTCTCAAATTTATATAAATTTTCAAGAGCAAATGAAATCAATTTATATAATAAGAGACTATTGTTGATTAATATAGTGTTAAAAATTGTCTTTCCAATCAATTTTCCCTGAAGTTAAGCGGACTCTTTTATTTATTTATTTTTTTTTTTTCAACAATTCAGAAGACACATTACTTTCCTTCAGCAGAAATTGCCATCATTTCCAGTTGAGTCATAGAACTTCAATGATAGAAATTCTCATCATTTGTAGTTGAACTGTTTCTTTAAAATCTTCAAAATTCTCATACAAAAGGAAGATGTAGGCATCTTTTGGTCTCTTAAAAACTGTATTTCTATGATTTTTATATTTCAAAGTTGTAGCCATTAGATAAATTAAAGAAATTAAATGTTTTTATTTCTTCAGCTGACATGAAATTAAAAGTTTTTGTTTATGAAAATTTGTTTATTGTGGCTGAAGAAAAAAAATTTGTAGATACAACAGATTCAATCTTATGAGAAAAATCTACAATTTATTTGTAATGGTGTTGAATTGCAATTCAAAATTGATGCATGACAAGAAAATAGATTTAACAGCAAAAAGGTTTTATTTCGCACAGTAGACCCAAGATGGACTGTCACTAGAGTATTCGGACTATTGTCCTCATATTTGTTGCCATATTTATTATAATGTTTTGGCCCTTCAGTATCTGTCTATATTTCTGAGATGAGGTGTTATGTACACTATTTACATTATTTGGACTATTGTCCTCATCTTTGTCGCCATATTTATTATAACGTTTCGGCCGTTGTATGCTCCGGCCTTCTTCAGGTGGTTGGAATGTCGAACTGAACCCTTTATTTCGCTCACAGGGGTAGACATGTTTAATGGATATCAGTTATCTTCTGTTAATTCTGTCTTAACCGGGTATTGAACACACACTCTTTGGGTCCTGTCACTGGACCTTTATCCACTGTGCCATGTGTCCGTGAGGACATCTGTGTATGAATTTCTGGGTATTATAAACCTAATGTCTTCAGCAACCATTTTTTACCAGTGCTGATATTGCAATTTTTGCTGTTATCATTGCATGTTTTTACCAGAGCTCATATTGTAATTTTTGTTGTTATTATCGCTTTTCTCTGGCACTCTTTATTACTGGTTCCCATATTGTATTCATTTCTATTCTTGGTTGGCTCAGGAGATTTTTGTGGAGAGAGAAGGAAGATCACTGCCCTCTGTGGGATCAGGTTGAGATTATAGACAAAGAACACCATTGGAAAATTTGTAAACTTAAGGAATGAGCACATATGATAGGCCACAGTGGATAAAGGCATTAGATCCAGTGACAGAACCCAAAGAGTGAGTTCAATACCCGGTTAAGGCAGTAGAGAACTTTCAGAGGGAAATTAACAGGAGATAACTGATAACTGACATCCATTAAACATGGCATGTGGAACTAGAACAGTCTACCCCAGTGAGCAAAATAAAGGGCTTAGTTCGACATTCCAACCACCTGAAGAAGGCTGGAGTGTACAATGGCCAAAATGTTGTAATAAATATGGCGACAAAGATGAGGACAATAGTCTGAATAATGTAAATTATGTACCTCATCTCAGAAATATAGACAGTCACTAGAGTGTTGGAGAAATCAGGATTAGATTGAAAAGCATTTGGTGAATTTTACAGCAGTTTTTATTTTCATTGTTATCTAAGTATGTTTAACTATTCAAGCCAAAAAAAAACTTATTTCCAGTAGGTATGATGTCAGCTAAACTGGGATTCTAGCTTATTAAAGGAACCTAGATTTTCATAGCTTCATAACTAGCTATGGATTAAAAAAAAAACTTTGTGGCTTCATTGTCAAGGTCATTACATCAATTTTGTTTTATGTTGTTCTTCATGTGCTTTCCTTTTTAAAGGATCACTGATGAGCTCACATAAACAAGACACTAGATTTGAGGGTTTTTTTTTCGTTTTTAATGTAAGTCAATGATTTGATAAAAGCCACATTAATATTTAATTAATGCAGTATCCCATATATCGATGATTTATTGCTTTACAAATTAATATGGGCTCCTTGACATTTCATAACCTTCATCAGTCTGTCAACCATTGATTTTATTAACTGTTCTGCTGTTTCTTCACAGAGATCTTTTTTGCTTGGATATTGTTTACCATTCTCATGCACATTTCTTTTGACGATGAACTACAAGGTTTTTTTATTTTTTTTTTTTTTATATTATTTGATTAATATCTGGAGAAGCTGTGGGTCATTCCATTAACTTGGCATGTTTAAAACCTTTTCTTAGCCAGGTGGGCAGTAGTCAGCTTTGCAAGCTCATAAAGAACATTGTCTTAAATATATTATAGCTTAAAGCTTTTTGGTTGTGTAAGTACCACTCAAAAACCCTCTTGTCCAAGATCTTAGAATAATTCTCTGTATTTACCTTAAAACTTTTATTAACACTGAATGGACCTTTGCTATTGTTCGCTGGTTGACTGTTTTTTTGAAGGACCTAATCTCTATCTCAGCCATCAGTTTCAACCAATTTAGCTCTACATTCATCCCTAAAAATTACTGTTGATAAATCAGTTTGCATATACTACTTATAGGTTTGTGCAATGGGTACTTTAAAGTTGTACTTTGCTTGCTTTCATTTCTTCAGCCAATGCTCTTGATATTCTGCATCTTTTTAACTCTGTTTACATTTGTAACATCAACTTCTGGAAATATTTTCTGGTCAGTTCACTTTTGTTTATTACTCTTTTCATTTTTCTCAATCCATTTTTGTGACATTCTTAAAAGCAGTTTTTTCTTTTTGTTCTTGCCAATATTTGCAATTTCTTTTTTCAGTAGTTCTTCAATAGTTCAACTTGTTTGCTATTTCAAACATTGTCTTCCCCATCATTCAATAACTTTATAATATCTTTTAAGGTCATATTTTTATATCTGATCCATGGTAATCTTTACATATGAAGAACTTTGCTATTATATTTGAGATGATGAACAGCCCTTAAATTACATCATAAAATGTAAAAAAAAAATTCATAGAAATCTCAAAGAGATAAAGAAAAACAGTTAAGACAATGAATTAAATGATTTAATTTACTGCCTGATAACAGCGTCCATCTAAAAAGAATTGGCATCATGAACTTTCAAACAGGCAAGAGCTGAAGCCTTGATAATGAAATCATTCACAGATAATTTGCTTGGAGAGAATTTCATTCAGCTTCTTTCTTAAACAAATGGTACTCATCTCTATGCTAGGTCTACTGAGGAGTTTGTCAGAGATTAACATGTGCACTGATTCTTTGTCATTTTATGTTGACTGTTCGGAAATACTTAGTGCTGTAAGCTTTGATCTGCAAGTGGTGTAATGAATAATGGCTCAGAATTGTTAATTGGAAAGCCAAGTTCCAATTCCAGTTAGGTTCATTTTATTTGCTTACATGCAAATACCTTTGGAAAAGGTATGAATTCACCTCTTCTGTGGATTAATTAGTAAGACTTGTATCACTAAAACATTATCTCCCTCACCAAATTCTTACTATATAAAAATATTTTCTCTGCAAACGATTTTGTTCTCTGTCTATTATCCTGACTTCATTCATTTATGACCACCTTTTTCCTTCCATATATGATCAGCCATTCCCTATTTCACTGTCTCACTTCACCAAATTAGTTATTGCAAATATTTCTAATAAAATAGATAAACTTAAATTCAGTATATCATATACATTAGTAAATAAATGACAAGATGGAAAACTAGTTTGTGAGGCATTTCATTCTGAAAGAATCTCTTCAAATAACAATTTAATGAAATCAGTCTTCTATAAAAAAAAGAGAAAATACAATCAATATCAGCTACAATTAGAATGTTAATGCAAAGACACTCAAAATTTTAAATTTTGACATCCAGTAACTTTTAAATTTAGTCTCATTCAGCTTCTATTGCGTTTTTTATTGTTTTTAATAGAAGTATATCTTGAAAATTTTTTCAATATCAGATTGACTAATACTAATTTTTTTTAAAAGCTCTGGACTTGCATAATCTAATATTGCATATATTGAATATTGAAAAAAAATATCAGTTGTAATTTTTTTTTTTTTTTTCATTGTACTTTGAATTAATGATTTTCATCAGTTTTAATGTTCTTATTTTTCTGTTTTTATTTGCAGGTTATAGCAAAACGTTTACTTCAATCAAAACAGACAATTCCTCATTATTACCTTTCTGTTGATGTAAAAATGGACAATGTGATCAGGTTATACTTTGTTTTTTATCATTATGTAAAATTCTATACACTGGTCATTAAAAAATTATTTTATGAAACCTAATTGATATTTGATGAATTTACTACCATTTTAGGGGAGAAGAAAATTCACGCTGCTGCAGAAAAAAAACAAATTTTCCATTATATTCTTTTAATTTCTGTTGCCCAAAAGAGTTTTTGAGAAGGTGCAAGCATTAATGGGAAGTCAAAGGTCAGGAGATGTGCCTCTCTCTCTCTCTCTTTGGTTTCCATTTTACACAACAAATGAATTGGAGACAATTAAAAACAAATAAGTAGTCTCCTTTGTTACTGATTAGTGTTTTCTGGTAAAGTTTATTAGGGATTGCAACCACATTTTATTTAAGTTATACATTTGTTTAAAGGATGCAATGAATTTCAATAATGAAATTACAAATAGTAATTTTACTGCTTGTTCTGTCTATTGCCACTGAAAATGATTCATTTGGTGGTGAAGCCAAACTTTCAGTTTAAAACTAAACAACAGTGAATGTAACATGGGAACATTTTTGGAGATAATTTTTCTACTGATTGACTTTCTTCATTTTAATCTTGTTCAGTAAATATTGATTGTAGAGTTGGTAGATAAAACCTTTTTTTTCTATAATCTCACTTGCAGTTCTTGATCATGTTTTCTTCCAAAGAGGGGCTTAATCCAAGAAAGTTATCACCAAAAGTTTGAACTCGTTTGACTACAGAGCTTTTCAGTTGTTTCTGGTGTACCCTTTTTGGTTGACTATGTGTTCTATCCTGTGTAGTTGTCTGGGTAGATGCATTAAAATCACTCATGGCTGATCTTATATAGAGGAGAAAGATGATTATTAAGCCCTCTAGAATTAAATCAGGATAATAAACATGGAACAACACTGGAAGATAAAATGACTGAAAGAATCAGTGTACATGTTTGGCCTTGACAGCCTACTCAGTAGACCTAGCATAGGGATGAGTCCCATTTGGAGCTTCTGATTAAGAAAGAAAGGACAATATTCAGATCTTTACAATATTTTTTTTTCTTTTAGGTTGAGAAAGGAACTGAATGGAATTCTCTCCAAACAAAACATCAAATTATCTGTGAATGATTTCATCATCAAGGCTTCAGCTCTTGCCTGTTTGAAAGTTCCTGATGCCAATTCCTCTTGGATGGAAACTGTTATCAGGCAGTAAGTTAAGCAATCATTTCATCTGTCATCAAAACTCTTTTTATCTGTCTGAGAATTCTATGAAAACATGGTTTTTATGTGTAGGTAGTGATTAGAGAGTATTATTTTTAATTTACGATCTGAAGAAGAAATTTGTTGAATGTAATAATTTCAATATGAGACTTTAATCTTTTCAAGTTTGATAAATTTATAAAAGCATTCTTAATATTTAATCACAAAAGGTAAATTTAAATTGTCTGAAAATAAAATCATATTTAATTTTCTCAAACCAATTTTAAATCTAAAATGGGTGGTCAAATTTTAACTATTTCTCTTCTTTTTAAAAATGTTTGAATGTCTAATATCTTCAATTTACTTCCCAAATTTATTGATTTCAGATTTTTTTTTCATGGATGTTTTAAGGTACATTATTTACATTATTCAGACTATTGTCCTCATCTTTGTCGCCATATTTATTACAATGTTTCGGCTGTTGTACATTCTGGCCTTCTTCAGGCATTTGAAATGTTGAACTGAACCCTTTATTTTGCTCATTGGGGTAGACTTTTCTAGTTCCACGTGCCATGTTTAATGGATGCCAGTTATCAGTTATCTCCTGTTAATTTCCCTCTTCAAGTTCTCCACTGCCTTAACCAGGTATTGAACTTACACTCTTTGGGTCCTGTCACTGGATATAACTAACGCCTTTATCCACTGTGCCATGTGTCCTTAAGGTATTTACAAGGATCTGTGTTTAAAAAAAAAATATGTGGCATTCTTTGGTCAAATGCCATGCAATAAGCAGACTGAGAAGAGACACAACCTTTTATAAATTATGTAGGCTTGATTTGTTTGTTTATTTTTATTTAAATCTAAGTTTAATTTTATATGAAAAAAAAGCAATTGCTATCTTTATGGAGATAAAAACAACTTTGATATTTACTGAGTTTCATTTTGTCGCAAAGTATTTGATTAGCATTTTAATTTGCTACTGAAGGTTATGATTTTTGTAAAAAGTTCAATGACCCAATCAAATGCTATGTCTTATTTTCAAAGTGAAATCTCTCCAGAACCTGAACAATATCAAACAATACAAAAATGACCATGTAAGCCTTTTATTAGGCTGAAATTAATTTTTGAAATTCTATCAAGTTCCAGAACTTCTGGCCAATAATAAAAGTGTGATTACCTTTTTGCAAAAATATTCACTCACAAAAAAAAAAAAAATAAGACTTGTTCTTGCAGTTCAAAATATATTTTGCTTTTAAATAACCCACAAAAGATTGATAAGCTATAAAAAATAAAACCCACTAAAGACTGATAAGCTATAAAAAATAAAATCGATCAAACTTTTTGCAACACTTTGAAACATTTCAAATAAAAAGGAAGGAATGTAATAATTGTAAAAAAAAACTGTTTTACTTTATTATAGACATATTTTCTTATGTACAGATATCAAACTGTGGACATTTCTGTTGCTGTTGCCACAGAAAATGGACTTATTACTCCAATTGTAACAAAGGCAGATTCCAAGGTAAACAATTCTCAAACTCTCTCTCTTTCATATACAAACATTTTATATCTTTTACCTGATTTTTTTCCTATCTATACAAGGTAGATATCTCAAAAATCGTTGTAATGATCAAGGAAAAATTTTTTTTGTCTCTCTCTCTCTTTCTTTGTCTCTCTCTTTCTTTGTCTCTCTCTTTCTTTGTCTCTCTCTTTCTTTGTCTCTCTCTTTCTTTGTCTCTTTTTTCTCTTTCTTTTCTTTTTCTTTTTTGTTTCTTTTCTTTGTCTCTCTTTTCTTTTCTCTCTCTTTCTTTGTCTCTCTTTTTTTGTCTCTCTTTTCTTTGTCTTTTCTTTTGTCTCTCTTTTCTTTGTCTCTTTCTTTCTTTTCTTTCTCTCTTTTTTTCTTTCTTTTGTCTCTTTTTCTTTTTTGTTTCTCTTTTTTCTTTTTCTCTGTCTCTTTCTTTTGTCTTTCTTTTGTCTCTCTCTTTGTCTTTCTTTGTCTCTCTCTCTTTGTCTTTCTTTGTCTCTCTCTCTTTGTCTTTCTTTGTCTCTCTCTTTTTCTTTTTTTTTTCTCTCTCTTTGTCTTTTTTTTTTGTTTTCTCTCTCTTTGTCTTTCTTTGTTTCTCTTTGTCTTTTTTTTTTTTTTTGTCTCTCTCTCTTTGTCTTTTTTTGTCTCTCTCTCTCTTTGTTTTCTTTTTTTTCTCTCTCTCTTTCTTTGTTTTTTTTTTTCTTCTCTCTTTGTCTTTCTTTGTCTCTTTCTTTTTCTCTTCTTTCCTTGTCTCTCTCTCTTTGTCTTTTTTGTTCTCTCTCTTTGTTTTTTTTCTTTTTTCTTTTTTTTTTCTTTTTCTTTGGTTTTCTTTTTTTTCTTTCTTTTCTTCTTTTTTTTCTTTCTTTTTTTGTTTTTTTTTCTTTGTTTTCTTTCTTTGTCTTTTTTTTTGTCTTTTTTTTTTCTTTTTTCTTTCTCTTTTCTTTTTTTTTTCTTCTCTTTTTTCTCTTCTTTTTCTCTTTTTTTGTCTTTTTTTTCTTTTTTTCTTTCTTTGTCTCTCTCTTTTCTCTTTCTTTTCTTTTTTCTTTTTTTTTCTTTTTTTTCTCTTTCTCTTTTTTTTCTTTCTTTCTTTTTCTTTTTTTCTTTTCTTTTTCTGTTTTTCTTTTTTCTCTTTTGTTTTTTTTTTCTTTTTTTTTTTTTTTTCTTTTTGTTTTTCTCTCTTTCTTTCTCTTTCTCTTTTTCTCTTTTCTTTTTCTCTTTCTTTTTTCTCTTTTCTTTTTTTTCTTTTCTTTCTTTTCTTTTTTTTCTTTTTTTTTGTCTGTTTTTTTTTTTTTTCTTTTTTCTTTCTTTCTTTTTGTTCTTTTTGTCTTTCTTTTCTTTTTTTCTTTTTGTTCTTTCTTTTTTCTTTTTTTCTTTTCTTCACTTCTTTTTCTTTTTTCTTTTTTTCTTTCTTTTCTTTCTTTTTTGTCTCTTTTCTTTTTCTTTTGTTCTTTTCTTTTTTCTTTCTTTTTTTAAACTTTTTTTTGTTTTTCTTTTTTTCTTTTTTTTTCTTTCTTTTTCTTTTTCTTTGTCTTTCTTTTTCTTTCTCTTTTTTTTTTCTTTGTTTTTTCTTTTCTTTCTTTTTTTTTTTTTCTCTTTCTCTTTCTTTCTCTCTTTCTCTTCTTTTTTTCTCTTTCTCTTTTTCTTTCTCTCTTTCTCTTTTTTTCTTTGTCTCTTTCTTTTTTTCTTTCTTTTTTCTTTCTTTCTTTCTTTCTTTCTTTTTTCTTTCTCTTTCTCTCTCTTTCTTTCTTTCCTTTTTTTTCTGTTTTTCTCTCTTTTCTCTCTTTTCTCTTCTCTCTCTTTCTTTGTCTCTTCTTTCTTTGTTTTCTTCTTTTCTTTCTCTCTCTCTCTCTCTTTTCTCTCTTTCTTTTTTCTCTCTTTCAGAATTCTTTCTCTTCAAATTTTTTTTCTCTTTCTTTCTTTTCTTTTTTTTCTTTCTTTCTTTTTTTCTCTCTTTTTTCTCTCTTTCTCTTTTTTAACATTTTTTTCTTTTTTCTTTAAAAAATGTTTTTTCTTCTTTTTTATCTTTTTTTTTTTTTTCTTTTCTTTATTTTTCTTGGGTCGCACTCTCTTTTTTTTTTCTTTTTAAAATTATACATTTAAATATTAAAAAAATCATTTTTGTAAAGGGAGATAACCATTTTTCAAAGTCAAAACTTTTTCATTGATGGCTTTTTTCCCAATTTCCGTTTCTAATTATAATTTATATACATTTTTTTAAAAAAATATTTTTCTTTTCGTTTTTTTCATTTTTTTCTATTTATTGTTTCTTTATTCTTTTTTTCATGCATTTCAATTACAAACTTTTTTATTAATTATTTACATTTCTGAACAATGTCAACCCTAATTTAATGAATTTTTTATTTAATTTTATTTGATGTCTTTCTTTTTGAATTGCCAGGTTTTTTATAGCTATTTTTGAGTCTATTAAAACGTTTATGAGTTAAAGCAAAAGAAGGAAAATTCCAACCACATGAATATCAGGTTTGTTTGTTTTTAAATTTTCTCCAACAATTTTTTTTTTTTTTTTTTCATGGTCATTTTGTATCTGGTTTTACTCAACCAAACAAATTTCAAATTGAAAGTATTTGATTTTCAAAATTCTTTTAACTTGTTCCAGGTTTCCTTTCAGTTCCCAATGTGAAAGAAAAATTTGAAAAAAAAAACATTTTTTAAATTTTTTTAATTATTCAGTTATCAATTTTTTTAAATTTTCCCTGATTTATTTTACTTAATGATATTATCGTTGAATGTTATTTTTGAATTTTTTCAGGGTGGCATTTTCACGATTTTTCCAAATTTTTTTTAATGTTTGGTGTGAAGAACTTTTGTGCTATCATCAATCCACTTTTAATTTGAATTTTTTTTTTTTTTCATCTATTTTTAAAAAAATTTTAAAAAAAAATAAAATGAGCAAAGTTTTTTTTTAGTCTTTTTCTCATTATTTTGTAATATTTTTTTAAAAATTTTTTTTATTTGTTTAATAAGAATTCAATTTTAATTTTTAAATAAATGCATTTTCAAAAATGACCATTTCACTTGTTTTTTTTAAAAGGTTTTTCAGGATTGTTTTTCACTAAACAAGGCTTTTTCCATTTCCCTTGCCCTGTTCTTTCTGGGGCTTTTCAATTTCCCGACTTTCAAGCTTTGCAGAATTTAATCAGCACCCTTTTGAAATTTTTGGGTATCTATTTTAATTTGTTCCAGTTTATATTTAAATATATATATTTTCCTTCAGTTTTTCCACCTCTTAAAATTCTAAAAGGAAAACCAACCTATGATTATATTGAAATGTTTTTTAGGGTCCTGTCCCAAATTTTGCAGTTAAATTCCTTTTTGGACAAAAAACTATTTCTGTGGTCTTTAGTTTTATTAAAGGAAAAATGTAAAACAATACCAAAAATAAATTTTTGAAAAAAAAATTATAAATTTTTTTTTTTGAAAAACAAACTTTTTAAGAATTTTATTTTTGAAGGAAAAATTGTTCTCTTCTAAAAATAGATTTTTACAAAAACAAAATATTAATAAATAAAATTTTGTTGGCATTAAATTTTTATTGAGGTTGATATTTTTAAAAATAAACCTTTTCCAATTTTTTTTTTGTGCCTTGTCTTTTTTTTTTTGGTGCCTGCTTTCCAAAAATGTTATTTTATTCTGGATGATTTTTTTTTTTTTTTTTTTACTTCTTTTTTTACATTTATATGGAATCTTTCTTTTTTTTTGACTATTTCATGATGAATGTTGCTCTAATTTTTTTTTAAAAAATTTTTATTTTTTTTAAAAAATTTTTTTATTTTATATTTGTTTGTTTATTTAAGCAGAAAAGTTTTTTCTTTTTATTTCAATCATTTTTATATCAATTTATGAACATTTTAAATAAAAAAATGGCAAAATTCAATTTTTCCTTTCAAACCAAATTGTTTTGTTTCTTTCAAAAAAAATTCAAATTTTTTGATCATCTACTTCAAATTATATTCTATTTATTTGACAACTGAATTTTTTTTTTACTTGAATCATTTTTATTGCTTGTTTCATTATATTTCTAATGTTTTTCTGATAAAATTTTTTTTCATAATTTTTTTTTGTATTTTTTATTTTGGTTTTCGGCTGAACAGAAATTAATTGTTGATTTGTGCCGTAATTTCTGAGATCCAAAATTTTTTCATTTTTTTTTGTTTCATTTTTTTTAAATGTAATTAGGAAATGATTTTTTGAATTTAATTTTTTCTTTTTTTTTCTTCATTCCTGTCTTCTTAACTTCATTTTTTTTTTTAAAAAAAAAAAAAAAAAATATTTTTCTTTATTCTTTATATAAGATTTAATAAAATTCTCTTTCTAAAATCCATTTTTCAATTTAAATGTCTCATATTAATCTTGTTTATTAATTTTTTTTCTAGATATGTTTTGTAAAATTCTATTTTTTTTTTTTTGTTGATATTTGGTGACATTTAATTCCCTTTAAATCAGAAAAAAAAATGA